TTCATATGTGTATGGGTATGGCGTGGGCGTGGGTTTGCTTGTCCCTGAGCTCTCTCTGTCTCTCTCTCATCCCATTAATGCATTGCCTTCATGCAGTAAGTAGGTCCTCCTTCCTTCTATGGCATTTTGCCTTTATTTGTTATCAAATAATGCCTCTGTGGACAGGCATCAAATTTCACGCGTGACTTTAAATAAAGCCAGAATGGGAGTTTATTTGTTCTGTCTTCCATCTAATAGATTATATCTAGACAATATCTATTGTACACCTATTGTATTTGTTTATCGAGGATCTCCTTTTCGATTCTCAAGCGATTCTTCTGCCATTTTAAGGGAACTTTTTCGGGGTTCTTTGGCTGCACAAATCTGTAGGGCTTGGAGTTGGACTTCAAGGGATTCTTCATCCAAAGTAAAATGTATGTGTCCGATTCCTATTCCTATTCTTGTCATTTTCTTTTTTCTTTGTGGGGTCTGTGTCTTAGAGTCATTTTCAATGTCACTTTCAATCCACACATTGCACTTTGCAATCAGAATAATGATGAGGGTGTCCCACCAGCCAACACAATAACAACAACAACAACAATCAAAGCCAACGCGACAAAAAGAATTTTCGCACAAATTTAATTTTATTTAATTTAAATTCCTTTAGACCGGCGCGCCGTGCGGTTCATTATGGAAGCATCGTCGCGCATTGCCGGCGTGCAACCGTCGACTCTCGGACACTGTCACAGGCGGCATAGTGGGTCAGAAATAAATATCATCAATTACTCGTACGACGGGGCCTCAAACCACTAGAAAAAGCCCAACACCTCCTCCTTCGTCTCCATATCCCCTTGAAACGCATGAGTAATCCTCGCGGGCACAGAAAATTCCATTCCGCTGTCGTTTTTTTTTTTTTGTCAACCTTTGGAGAGAGAATATTAGGATTTTGATCCCATATAAATTACTATATATCCGAAAAGTAAGCATCTCGGGGATGAAGTCTGTGAAATCCACAATTTCAAAGATACATATCTGATTGAATATCACTTGACAAGTCTCATAAATAAGGCTTAATATATTATGTACAATCGGAATGAAGAAAACAAATCAAAACCATTGGCAAAGGCAACCCGCATTGGAAACGCGGATATTCTTTGCCACTTCATTGTGTGAGAATTGTGTGGAGAGTGGGGGAGAGTTCACGGCTGTTGTAAGCCAATTAGAGATCATTTGGATTATCTACTTGGGTCACATGCAATGAATCCGATTAGCGGATCAACTATAAAGAGTTGGACATTATTAATTGCTTGGATTACACCGTTCCAGCCACACTGTCCTACATAGATCTTTCAACGGACGACAGAACCCTCTCCCGTGTCTTGTATGTTGATCGGTCATATGGTGGATGTTACGGGTTTCTTTGGGTTTTCCATCCTATATGATATAGTGCTCCAATTTGGCAGTTCCAACCTACATATCTACACACGAACTACTACTACATACTACTTGCTACTTGCACTTGTATTTTTGGAGTGGAGTGGAACCACATGGAACCTCTGCGTTGTAAACATCTGGTCAAAATCGGAATTGTCAACAGCATACAGCACTGACCAAAGATAAGACACCGCGGAACACCGATTCCTTCCACACACACTCAAACACCTGATTACTAAGCACTCCTGGCGCTTCTACTCACCTGACTTTGTTCCACTGTGCAGCGACTGCGACGTCAGCGTCAGCGCAGGCAGCAACGTCGTCAATTGCAGTTTTATGTTCGTACGCTTTCGGCGCGGAGCGGATTGTGTGTGCCGCCTCTGTCCGTGTGTTTGTTTGTTGTTTTTCGTTTGCAACAATTTCATGTAGTATTTATTTATTCATTCAATTTTTGAAGCACTCGAAAAAAAAAAAACCATTGAAGTCCGTCGCACACACACACACACAAAATAGGCGGGGGACACGCGACACTCACGTACACTTGTTCACCTATCACCACAAGGAAGGGGGAGGGTAGGGCATGGGCAGGGAGAGAGGAGAGTTTAGTTTCGGCAGCGGGAGCGCTTGTGTAACGCGATTCCCATTTTCGTGTAGAATTTTGTACCGAATTTGCACTGCTTACAAAACACTCTCCCCACTTCACAGAACTTCTACTTAAATAATTTTTTTATTTTTTTATAATTAACATAAGTAAAGCAGTCACACACACACATATGCAGGCCCACGAATGGGGTGAAAAAGATAGAGAGAACAGAGCAGAGCGAACACACACACAGCCACACATTTGCGAGCGCCCCGAATTTGTATTTATTTAAAAAAATATATAAATTGTTAAAATGCGATTATTCATTTTTAGGTATATACATTTTTCCTACATTTCTTTTCGTTTAAATTTTTTGTACTGCTTTCTTTTAGCAGCCGCTCACGCACACACACACATAGGCACGCGCGCGCACACAGAAACACACACACACACGCAGAGGGCAGAGAGAGGCCGCGGCCGCTGCTCTGCTGACTTTTTTTTCCATTTGCTACACCTTGCTTCCGCATATACTTTTTCCCTGCTCCTAACGCGAGAAAAAATCCAGGAAAATACCGAAAAAAAATTGGAAAAAAACAAAATGCTGCATATGGTTATTCATTGGCACTTTTGCTACCTTCTTCCCCTCCTCTTCACTGCTTTGTACAGGCTTCTTGTTCTAATTACTTTTACTTGCAACGCGTGCGTCTCTCGCGCTGTTCACGTTGTACAATACATACATATGTAACTACATATATAAATATACATCAGTATTTTTTTTGGCACTTTGTACTTGGCGTTTTTTTTTTTTAGTTCTCCCTATTTTCCATTTAGTATGTGCGGATTATTCGTTTTTATTCGCTTTTCGATTCGTAAATGTATGCGTGTGTTTTGTTGGAGAGTGTGATTATTTATCGAATGCCGACGACGACTAACTTTTTTGCCATTTTAATATGGCGGCGGCCCCGTGTCCGTGTGGTGTGTGTATTGTGCACAGAGAGGCGCTGCTGCCGCTGCAACAACACCAACAACATGGAGCACGGGCACAACTACTTACACTTTCACTAAACGAAAAAATAATTATGCGCCGCGCGTGCGACTGTTCTCGATATTGACTAACAAATACATTTACTAAATTGGTTTGGTTGTAGTTAGGAGGAGTAGAGGTCTCGAACCATCGAGGGCACTATCGATAGTATCGATGTTTTGCTGCTATCCGCTACTATCGACGGTTTTGCGACTATCATGATAGTATCGAGCTACAGTTGTTGCACTTCTGATATATTTGAATTGGCTGCTCTAAAATGCGAAGACAAATATGTAAACAAATCGACAGATGGCATCTAATTTTTACAATGGACAAGTATCTGAAAGATTTCAATGGTTTTTTAATAATTATTTGAGCCCGATACTTTTACGATAGTATCGATTGTTTTTTTTTAACATTCAATGGCTCAGCTATCAATCGCTTGACAGCTCTAAGGAGGAGGATATGCCTCCGTTCGTGCGTAAATTGTCACGACTCTTCCACACAGCGTGACCGATAACGATAAAAAATACCATCCGGCCAAAATAAAAATACCATTAAATACCATTTCAGTTTCGAGAAATTCCATACCATAAAAAAACCAGGCCAGTCCGGCGATCAATCGAGACTTAACCCACTTAACACCCCTCTATTTAAAAAGCGTAGCACCCTTTGTTAAAGCGCGGAAAATAATACTGTTTGTAAATGCTCCTTGTAGCTCCATCCTCCTCTTTACTGACAAAACAAAAATGACCACCGATACCATTCACCTGTAATGCGTAAAATATGTTAAGGTTACATAAATTTCGGGGAAATATTCAATAGCCCCCAGGTCGACAATGGGATAACGTTCTATTCTACTGATTGAAATTGTACTCCATAACTTTGATATTCAGTCTAACATTACTAGCTAGTTGGCCCTCTCAACCCTAAACAAATAATTTTATCCGATAGATCAATTTTCTACAAGATTGGTTAGTTGTCAGAAGTCCTTTTTATTGCATTGCTTACATAAAAAGGTTTAAAAAAAACGGCCAAAGCATAAAACGTAAATGTTGACTAAATGTGACGTCATTGTTGCTGGTCAACCAAGTATCTTCCATGCGTATGGACTTTTGTATACCATATTTCTATAATATCCATTTTCCCAATATTTTCTCATTATTTTCTCGCTGAAAAATAAATAAATATATAAGTTTACCTTAATAATGGCATTAATTTCTTTTTAGAACAGAAGTAAGTATGGATAGAATGGACCATTTTCAATTCCATTGCTTGAAAATAAATTGCTCAGTTCCATATTTGAAAACCCCGCTGCGCCTGCGCCCCAGAGATAGGCGATATTCATCGCCATAGCTTTCTCCATAATTTCTCCTAGAGATGTGACGTCGTTGTTGGTGGCGTTGCCAGACTCGTGCAATTCGTAGTTGCTGTGGGCTGTCACACCAGGATTTTTGTGACCCGTTTCATTACAAATTCGCTTTGAACTGATCTGGCAGCCCTAATAGACTTATCGCATGCAATTTCGATACAATTTATCGCACTGCAGTAGCGGTACATTAAATAGTTTAAATATGTCATCCAAAGTTAGCGGGAATAATTGGATCTAGCAAGCGGAAGGAACAGTACTATCATATTTCCCCGCCCGAGAACGTAGAGGAGGTGCACCTGTTCCAGGAGTTGTAGGTTTTATAAATAAATATTTACTTATGTATGATTAAATGCCAACGAGATGTCTGGTTATTAACAAACAAAATGACTCTTTTGTGTATATTTCAATAATGCCTCTGTCCGATCGATTAAATAAAATGAATACAATACGAATACATTGAATATCTTTCGTATAATGGAATTATTCGTGTGTTCGTTCCGTTGCCGTTCGACACCACCAACTGGCGGCGACACATAACGTAGTATGTATAACATTAAATACATTTACATATAAATACATATATGCATATGCATAAATATATGTTTAAGTAGTATATACTTTAATGGTGTATATTGGTTTGGTTTGTTGTGTATATGTTATGTATATTAGTATATATATATATGTAGGTAACAGATACATTGAACAACATATTGCCCTATAATTGATTTAATATATGCATCGTAAATACTTCGAAAAACTTGCAACACCTTAATAATTACTATCATAAGGGCGATGGGAGCGGGGGAGCGGGGGAATACAGAAATAAATTGATATTTAGGTTAAGAAAAATACATAGAAAAATAAAACAAAATACATAATTCAATACACTTTTTGTTGTTGTTTTTGTTTTGTTTTGTTTTGGAGAGAAACAAAAGAAACATCATACCACAGGACGACAGCAGGAACCGTAACCACATCTAATAGGGTATCTGATTCTGATAGTACTGGATCATGTCATAGGTACGCGTGCGGAAATTCTGATAAGAGTTTCGTATGACGGACAGCATATGGGCGGCGGCCTCCTTATTATTCTTGGTGGCCACAAATCGCTGCTTAAGCAGATTGATTGTCTGGCCCCGGAAGCAGGGCAGACCCGTATCGAGCATCAGCGAGACGAGCGACACAATCGCATCCTGGTAGGGGCGCACCGCTAGAAAGGCCTGTACGCATAGCTCACAGAACCATTTGAAGGCGGGCGAATCCATTTTGCCGCCCATTATCATAACCATCTCATCGGTGAGCTTCATGTCGGGCTCAAAGCCGATATTGCCACCGGGCGATGATTCGAACATGAAGCCAAAATCTAAAGCAAACACACAAGACAATCAGTCAATGCGTCCCCCTGGGAGATTCTCTCTCTCTCTCTTCTTCTTTTTTCCCTTTGTTGCTTACCAATGTGTATGATGTGGCCATCCTTGTCGATCATAATGTTGCCATTGTGGCGATCCTTGATCTGCAGCAGATACCCAATCAGCGAGTAGGCGGCCATCGATTTAACAAAATTTGCACGCGCCGCCTGAAACTCCTTGGAGCTCTCATCGCCATACTGATGCTGGAAGTACTCGGATAGCCCCGAGTCTGTTTGCCTGCCCAATTGATCGCGTGACTTGGCATTCGGCACGCATTCGATCACGCCGCACTGAGGAGATAAGTAAGGTGGCACGGGAAAAATTAGCATTTAGGAGTACGAGGCAGGAGGAGGTGTCTACTTACGCCTGGAGCTGTGGCCACGACGCGATAGGGGAACAGAAACAGATCGAGGCCAACTTGTTGGAAGATATTCTTGAATATGGTGATCACCTGAAGCGCCAGCATATCCTGACGCACATCGTCGCCCACCTTAAAGATGGCCGCCTGCCACGACTCAACGCCCAGCGTTATTTTGGCATCCTCCTGCGAGTTCTGTTCAACAAACAACAACAACACATAAGAAACGAGTGAGAGCGTTTGAGAGCGAGTGAAACTTACCGGGTTATTGGAGACCTCCATGGCACGTGTCTCCAGTTCCGTGATGCCGCACCTATAGACACGAAAACGTGCTAAATACGGCGCCTTGGCGGCACTCTGCATGGGTGTGCCGCTGCTGTAATCAATGTCCAGCACCATGGCCTCTGGATTTGAAGGCAGATAACAGCCGGACTGCACCTTAATACGGCTAAGGGCCGCCAAACAGGCATTCTTACGCTCAATGCCCTTGGCAAAGGAACGTATCTCACCCGAGACGGCTGTAATTTTTCCAAAGAAATCAAATTCACGCTCATAGAAGCGCTTGGCGGCGCCCGAGAACGAGGCAATGATGTTCTGTGAGAGCAAATCCAGTGCCTCATACAGATTGGGATCGCGATGCATTTGATCCTCGTCCATATACATATTCGTTTGCATATTCCAGATGAGCTGGTGTGCCACGATCTGCGAACGCTTCGATATATTCTTAATGAATTCCACCACATAGCCCATGGTGTCGTGTCGCAGCGCCTGCACCAGTTGGGGTATATACGGCAGCACCGATTCGGCGGGGAACGATGATAGCGACTTGACCGCATACTGTGCGGTGAGCGGATGCGATGGATACTGCCGCGAGAAGTACGATAATGCCTGGATGGGGGTAACGGGCGACCAGGAGAGTATGTACACCAGATCGGGACTCTCTTGCAGCAGATTCTTGGTGGTGCACAAATACTTGAGGGCCTCCGGTATATGACAGACGGCAATCGGATCGGAGCAGACCAGGCGGGAGACCTCCTCGTCAATGATTTCGGCATTCTTGATACGTTGCGGCAGAAAGACGGCCAGCGATGGATTGTAGCACCAGGCAAGGCGGGCATAGTCACGCCACACGTTCGCCTTGTACGGACGATTGCGCCATTCGGTGATCTGCTCCTCGCCAGGCACTATCAGATCGGGCAGACAATTGGGATTGTACCAGGTGATGAGAAACTCCAGTTCGACGGCCAGCAGCTCGAGTATCAGATTGCGCTTCTTCATGTAGTCCTTGTCGTAGGAGTCCTTCTGGTACTGCAGCCGCTTGGATCGATTCGAGCGCTTCGATAGCGTTGACGTTGAGTGCGGTATGGTGTTGTACCAGCCGCTGCTGCCGCCCGTCACATTGCCGGAGGCGCTCATCGAACGCATCGAGTAGTCGGGCCCACCGCTGATCAGCGATGCCGTCTCTGGATTGGCCTTGACGCCCAGCATTTGATTGGAGCTGCCCGATGCATTGGCCGCCGCCATGTCATAGTCCCCCACCTCGGAGGTGACCAAATGCTTCTTCTCGCTGCGCATCGTCTGCCAGAACTTGAGCAGAATGAGTATGTCGTCCAGCAGCTGGTCCCTGCTCTGTATGGGGCAGGTGGGCGGGCCGCAGAAGTAGTCGAGGGCATTTGAGTAGATTCGCTCGCGCAATATGTTCCGGGCCAGCGACTTGGGTATGGTGTTGCCCTGCAGCAGCGAGAGGCCGCATTGCAGCAGCTTGAAGCGACAGCCGACGGTGGCCACCTGCCGGTTCTGTCGACTGCTCTTCAGAATGGGCAGGCAGCGGTGCAGCAGCAGGCAGAACATCTCCACCTTGTCCCGGTTACAGTACTTGGCCGTGTCCACCATCTCCGACAGCAGCTGCAGCCAAATCAGATGCGGTGCAATCAGGATGGGGCTGCTGACGAGCTTGCAGCCCTCGAAGGCGGCCAACGGATGGGTCACCTCCTTTTCGAGGGCAAACAGACCCATGCGCTTCTCGAAGGTCGTCTGCCAGGCACTGACCATCTCCTGGATGAAGCACAGCTCGAGATCCTGCCGTGCGGTCAGCACCCACTGCCAGCACTCGACGGCCGTCTCCATGACGGACTCCGTGAACAGTTCCAGCTGCGAACTGGCGACGGCATGCAACAGCTTGCGATCCACCTCCGCACAGATGATGAGGTAGGCGGTGGCTCGCCACAGGGCGCCCCGGTGACGGGCATCGCTCTTATCCCGGCACGCCTCCCACACATCGCTGACCAGACGCTCGGCCAGTCCGGCCTTGTCCTGCTCACTGAGCACCGACAGCAGGCCGCTGATTTCGCCCGCGTACTTGCTACGCAAGCACAGAACCGACACGAATCGGGGCGTGTCCGAATTGACGCAGCTGGGCCGCTTGCTGAGCGTGCCCAGGGCATTGCCCGGATGGAGGTAGCTGCTATTGACCACCGAATCAATGGCCAACGCCAGGCCGCTGTGGTGGGCCAGCACCGGTGTGGGTATCTGATTGGGATACTCCTGCAGGTGGGAACGCGTCGAGCGTGGCGCCCATTTCATCGCCTCATTCACAATGCCCTGACAGCGATCGGCAAAGTCCTTCAGCCGCAGCTCCCTCGCCGGCAGCGAGTCCATCAGCTGCAGCGTATATGGTGTGGATACCACACGCAGCGTGGGCGTCTCCTCATTCGGATCGAGGGTCAGCGAGTAGGCCAGCAGCTGCAGTATGTCCAGCATGCACCAGAGCACCCGACGATTCCACAGCAGGTGGGGGAAGCGATCCACCAGCTGTGACAGATACTGATCGGCCACCAGTTGGATTTGCTTGTGTATGTGATTGAAGTAGACAAGCAGCAGCGTTGCCTGCGACTCGAGCACCTTCTCACGTATCTCATCGTGGGCGTACAGAACATTGCGAAACTTTTCAAACACCTGATCGGCGACGCTGCAGAGAGAGAGAGGAGTGTAAAATGAGCAAAAGTAAAATCAATAAAAGAAGGAGCTGGCAATTACCATTTAACACACTGCCAGATGCCCGTTTTATCCCGCTGCAGTGCCGTGTCACACAGATAGCTCATAATGGGCTCCAGACTGGGCTCATCGGCATTCTCGACGCGCAGCATCTCCAGCCAGTAGACACTCAGCAGGTATGTGCACTGGGCAAATGTCAGCTTATTGATGGCCGTCGCCACATTGTCCGATGAGTGCTCGAGCAGCATCAGTATCTGGCTGCGCAGCTCGTTCACTGAATCGCTTTTAATGGCCAGCGTATAGTTGAGCTCGCGCATATCCGATTTGTGGGCCGTTTGTGAGATGAGTAGCGGCGATTTGGCCGCAATCTGCTGTACACCCTGATACCAATCGGCTGGCCATAAACGGGCATTGGTAAAGCCCATAACGACACAGTAGGCCCAAAAGTCCTTGAAGAGCTTGTGCAGCCGCTGGCGTGGATTCTTAATTGGCGGCAGGCGACGCACCAGTACCGCAATCACCGGTATTAGCATGCCCAGATTACCAGCCCGTGAGCTGGCCTTCTGGGCACCCGGCGTATTGTCGTAGGAGCGCTCACCATCCAATCCAATCTGCACGAACAGCTCCAGCAGCTTGCCCAATAGCTCCAGCATCTCCGCATCGCCCTGTATATTGGCAGCAATATTTCCCAGGGCATTCACCACCGCATCGGAGACATGATGGAACTGCTTGCGATGCTCCGGATCTGAGGTGTAGGCCAGCGAGGCCGATTGCACTGTCACCCGGGAGAACATCTTCATGATCTCATCGAAGACATGCGTCTCGCACTGTGAGATGATCATGCAGCCCAGCTGGTCGACAATCAGGGCATTCTGCTCCGATGGCACCTTGCAGAAGCGCTGAATGAAGAACTGCAGTATGTTCTGTGTCGTCTTGGAGGTGTCCTTCAGTGCAACGGCCACATGGCCCAGCATCACGATGATATTCAGGCTAACCAAATTTGATTCGCTGCAACAAAAAGGTAAACAAGCAAATGAATGGGTGGGTCATGGGGGGTGGCATAGAAAATACAGAAAAACAGAAATACCTTTCATGCTTCTCGGCGGTAAACAAACGATTGGACACATTGGCCACCAAAGCGGGCACACAAAACTGATCCAGTGTGTGTGCTGCACGCAGCGCAATCGATAGATTCTCAATGGCTGCATCACGAAGCGCCTCAAAGGCCACATGCCCGCTGCGTCCACTGGCGCCGGGGCCCCCAGCCGCAGCCGCATGCTTCTGATTATCGTTTAGAATATCGACCACAGCACGCGAATCCGAATGCTGCACCACAATCTTGAATGGCGTCAGCTCTTTCTCCTTCTTTTGGAGCGCCAACGACTGCATGGCATGGGCATGCAGTTTGCCCAGTATGGGGCTGGGGTCCACCAGAAAGTCACGCAAATACGATATCGATGTTCCGGCTATATTGGGAAATTTCTGTGCCAGCTTTGCCCAGGCCCTCCAGGCAGACCATCAGCAGGGGCATGTGATCCATCACGATCTTGTGGCTGAGCACGAGATTCAGCTTCTGTGACAGCCGTCCGCATAGTTTGTCCGCCTCTGTGTGAGCATATAAATATTAGTAATCTATTTCGTCTCATTTCTCTAAAAACTAATTTGAAAAACTCAAGGAGTAAGGACAGGATAGGGCGGGGCAGCATGCAGCATAGGATGGTGGATTGCGGATCGGGGAGGCAAGGCCAGGCGGCGGCAAGTAATGCAAACAACGCAAGAAACCAACCAAAAACAAAATAACCAACAACAAAAAAGGTTCTCGAAATGCAACACAATTCAAATTAAATAAATCCCTTGCTGGGAGGGTACAAAAAATAAACAAAAACTAAAAAACAAAAAAAAACAAACGCATTTTGCTCTTGACCTTTCTTCAATAAAAATTGCAAGCCATTCTGCAGGGATGGCACCGTATAGTCGACATCAACTAAATAATAAATAAATAATACGAGTATTTTGTATTCCATGATATTCCGGGGGGGGCAAGGGGGGGCGCACACAAAAAACCACCATCAAAAATAAATTAAAACCAAAAACCGAAAAATCAACGAAAATTAACTAAACCAAAATGAAAAGAAAGAAAGAGAGAGAGAAAGACAGGCAGAAACAGAGAGCGAGGAAGAGAGCGCAAGAGAGAGAGAGAGAGGAGGGGGCACGGTACATAATCTTTGGTTTTAGCCTTGCAGAGAAAGACACGGAAACCCCTCAAAAAGAAACCTAACTACCATCTATCCATGATTGGCTTGCCGGACAAAAAATAAAAAATAAAGAAAACAAAATACATGTCGTGTGCATGACGAGCGCACAGCGCGAGTCTAGCCAATAAGAATTGTTTCTTTTTTGTTATTATTCGAGTGCTTTGCAAATTCAAAAAGTCCTTTCAAAAAAGGAAACCAAGAAGAAGGCACATTTTAGAGCCCATATGCGATGTGGGTCTCAGTCTCAGCCCTGAAGCATATAACATTATTGTTTGTATATTTTTATTGTGGTTGCAATCAATCAGCTTCAAACGCTAACCTTCCTTCTTTATGTTGAATCATTCCTTTCCTTTAACGACACCTTTTAAGACCCTCTTTCTTCGCTTCTTCTCTGCACATCTCATCTCATCTGTTCTGATCTGATCTGATTGCTCTCTAAATCTATTGAAACCTGAAAGGGCACAAAAGAGGCAGCTGCATAGGCCGCCATTGCCATAGCTGCAGCCAGACGGCGCGGCGGTGTATATTGAATGGATATTTGTGCTTACCCGTCTCATCGCGTATGGCCCAGACAAGGAGATCCACACAGGCGGCATTGGCCATCACATTGACCTTGTATTTGTTGACAACGGCAATGCCGTTCTCTTCGCGCCGCTCACGCTCCTGGTCCTGCTGCTTATTCTGCAGCTCTGTCTGGCCGTTGAGGAAGAGCCGCTTCACAAACTCCTGCACATCCTTGGTGAAGGGTGTGGGCAAATCCACCTGATGCTGCAACAGCTCGCGCAGCAACGTCACCAGCACCAGATTGAGTGTCTCCGAGAAGCTCTTGTAGCAATATCCCTTAATCTGGTGCAGCGAGAATATATCGCTGGCCTGCTCGTCCAGATGCTCCAGCGTATCCTTGGTCAGCAGCTTCTTGGATACCGCGAATATCGTCTGCAGATGCTGGATGGGAAACGGCGGCACTCGATACAGGGGCCGAGGACCGCCCTTCGTTGGCGATTCGCATACCCGCATATTGGGGAACTGATTAAAGCTGGAGCCGTAGCGCGTGAAGAAGTGCGTCCGCGGATCGTACGGCACCGAGCAATAGCTGTTCAGGGATGGCTTCTGCTTGCTATTGTTGGCATTGCTGGCGTTACTGTAGAAGCCATAGCCCAGGTGTCGCTGCCGGTTATCGTCATAGAGCTGGTGGTGGTGTTGGTGCGCGGCCAGGCTGCCGGACATCGAGCGGGGTATTATCGGTCGAAACTGATGGTTGGCAGTGGCAGCCAGGCGCTCGCTGCTGCTAAAGGAGCCGCCACAGGTGCCGCTGGCACTGCTGCTGGCGGTGCCGTCACGCCCACCCACCCGCTGGATGGGCAGCAGCTCTGGCGGAAAGATGCGGCACAGCAGCGGTGGATCATTGCTGGCATAACGGCCCATCGAACGGGCCAGTCCAAATAGCAGCGGCACCGTGGCCTTGCAAAGTATAATCGGTGGCGGTGCCGAGCTGCTGTCCCTGCTGGACTTGACAATGTTGGTCAAAGCGCCCAGCGTCTCCACCTGATTGAGTATGATCTCCTCGCGCGAATCCGGGCACTTGGCGGCAATGTCCGACAGCAGGGTGTTCAGGCAGAAGCTGAACTTTTCGGCCGACGGGATGCGCACACCTGTTACAAATATAATAACCAATTGGCCAATTATTTAACTCTCTTCTCTCGCGCTAACGCTGGGTAAACGTTACGTTCGATCTTGCTGCTCCTCGCATCATCGATCCAGACCGCCTTCGGCAGGCACTTGGCCAGCCGCAGCAGATAGGGCACTATCTGTGACTCGTGCTGGCAGCCACTCTCCAGAAAGTATATGCCCAGCGCAATGACCGCATCCTGGGCCCTGGTGTCCAGGCAGAAGACGCCCGCGGCATTCTCCTGCGGGCAATAACGGAACAATGTCTGCACCTGTGGGTAGTCCATGGACAAAGGTCAGTTTTAGTTTCTGTTTTCGTCGTTTACTTTATCCAACGAGCTGTCGGTAATGGCATACCCCACCCCCCATCCCCAGTGACACACACACACACACACACGCATGTCTGTTTTGGTCGCACTTCAAGGTCAGTGCAAAAAGATGAACCGAAAATCGACTTTTCAACTGAATGGCATTGGGACTGGGGGGCGGCATCTGTCACTAACCTTCTCCCACGGCGTGGGCTGGATCCCAGCCAGCACTCGGGCCAGACATAGGACTGCCCGCTGGTACGTGTACTTGTCCGAGGCGGTCATCGTCATCTCTCCTCCAGGTCTCCTCCACTCCTCTTGATGCTTTTACGGCTGTTTTCCTTCTCTTTAAGGGGCGTGGCACGTTCGTTTTCGATGATCAACCACCCAATAGATTATTTAGTGGGTCAAATAATCAATCTAAGCGTTTATCATCGTCGTAAATCGGCTTTTAAATTAATATTTTGGTGTCAATTAGAGGTGTCAAACCATCGATGGCACTATCGATAGTATCGATATTTTACTGATAGCCTCTACTATCGACGGTATTGCGACTATCATGATAGTATCGAGCTACTTGATATGTTTGGATTGGCTGCTATAAAATACGAAGTCACATTTGTAAACAAATCGACAGGTGGCATCTAATTTTTACAATGGACAAGTTCCTAAAAGGTTTCAATGGTTTTTTAATAATTATTTGGGCCCGATACTATTACGATAGTATCGATTGTTTTTTTCAAAACATTCAACGTTGATATTCCTTGAATTTGATATTCCGGTTAAAATTACTAGCTAGCTGGGACTCTCAGCCCTAAACAAATAATTTTATCCGATAGATACATAAATTTTCTACAAGATTGGCAAGTTTTCAGAAGTCCTTTTTATTGGATTATTTACATATTAAGGTTCAAACAAAAACAGCATAAAACGAATTTGTCGTCGTTTTGTGGCGTTGCCAGACTCGTGCAATTCGTAGTTGCTGCGGGCTGCCATACCGTGATATTTTGTGATATGAAATTCGTCAATTTTGATATTCAGTTTAATATTACTAGATAGTTGGCCCTCTCAGCCCTAAACAAATTATTTTATCGAATTCCTCAATGAATTTTGTTTAGGATTGGCTAGTTTTCAGAACTATTTTTAATAGGATTGTTTAGATAATAGGGTTCAAACAAAAACGGCCAAAGCATAAAACGTAAATGTTGACTAAATGTGACGTCAGTGTTGCTGGTCAACCAAGTTTCTTCTATGCGTATGGGCTTTTGTATACCTTATTTCTTTTAATAGATGTTAAATGTTTTGTTCCAAGCTCCATTGAAACATATGTTTTTTACCTATATATGCACATGTTTGTGTTTTATAAATACATTTATCCCGGTTCTGCTACCTATTATTGGAGCTCGTGAGCTGAAAATTTTCGTTAATATCTTTCAAAACAGAGACTGAGTAGTTTCTGCATTAATTGGAGCCAAAAATTACAAACAAAATCTGAAGTCCATAATATCCATTTTTCCCAAGGTATGCAGATTGTTGCTCATCCCGTGCCAAAGTTGCACAACAATGCTGCCTCTTCATTTCCACATGTTGCTGAATTTTTTCCCATACAAATCAAATGTATCTTACGGGAACGCGTATGGAATGACGCAACAATGAATCTTCATTCCTTATGCGTTCCCGTTAAGAACATGTTTCTCACACCACGAAAAGTCACCACGAAAACGCTCACCTCTGAAAAGAGAGCAAATTTTGAAAAGCCACCACGATTTGAGAGCGATTAATATCGATATTTTTGTACGATTAATGGAGTTTGGCGGTCGTTTTCAAACGTATATATATGGAAAAATAAATAGTTCACTTGATTTGTTTTGTCGAGTGCGACTGTCAGGAACCGAGAAAAACCGACGCCTACAAAAAAGTCTAGGGATAAACAGAGGAGTTCAAATGTATTTTTTTTGAATTTTTATTTTCACTAATTTTTGCAACATTTCATCTTTAATTATACATACATAGTTTCTCATATTTTTACAATTGTTTTTTGGTTTTTTTTTTGTGTTTTTGTTTTTGTTTCTTTTTTTTTAATATATTTGTATTCCGTTTTTGTCGGGGTTTTTTTGCATTTTGTAATTCGAACAACTTTAAACTTTTTACATCAATAAATGAGTGTTTTTCTTTTCCACTTTCTTGTGATTGTTTTTATTTATAATTACTATTTTGCTTCTGTTGTGAGAATAGCTGAGAATGGCTGAAATAAGGGGAAATGTTGATTAAAGGATCGTGTTCCAGCCGGGCCGAGTCCTGAAGCGTGTGTGTGTTTGTGGTGGTGGGTGGGGGGTTTGTGGGAATTGGAAACCATGGACAAATCTGCATTATGTACAGCGATTCACGGCCATTGACATGAGTAGATTAAACCTCGCCATATATGTATGTTTGTATAGGTATGTGTATCTTGGCTATACACACTTTTTAAATATTTCATATTTATGTAGTTGCATGTGCTCTCGAAATATATCAATCATCTGCATGTGGTCTGTGGTTCCAGTCCCATTCCAGGGGCAAAGGTTATCCATTCCTGGCCATTCCTGTCGTACCCGATTGATTTGATTAATTTACTGCACAGCTGCCGAAGTAGCTTTGATTTGATTTGATTTGAGTTGAATGAAACATTTCCATTCCATATATGCTAAGCACAATTGTTTATTTAAAATGGTGTGTGGCGGGGGCAAAACAAACTAAATTTATAGATGGGAGGTGATGGGGTAGGACAACAACTAATCAAACTAAGACACATTTTTGTATGGAGCCGCATGAATTGTGGGGGAGGGTGGAGTTGGAGTTAGAGAGGTAGAAGATTGGTAAATGGATAAGAAAGGCATCCTCTCAAAGGTTGCTTAAGGAACAAAGAAGTGGGAGTTGGCAACTACATAAATATTTCCCCTGGCTTACATTTGTATCATTTTTCATATTCTTTTAGGTTCTATTGCTTGTATCTTGCTTCTGTGGACATTGAAATGGAAATTTACTAGTTTAAGTTTTTGTTTTGTTTTATGTTTTGTTTTGTTTTTTTTTTTTGTTGCATTTGCATTTTGCTTTTGTATTTTCGATTTTGGTTTCTTGTTTTGCTTGGATAACATGAAGATCTTGTTTTTTTGCAATTGGTTAACATCAAATAAGTTGCTTTAACTGTTGATTATTCATTCGTTTACTATAATTATTATATGTTGCATGCTACTGCTGCTGCTGCTGTGTTGCGGATGATCCATTTGTGACTTTGATTTTTTGTGGTTGTGAGCTGCATCGTGGATTGATTGATTGGTTTTTTTTTTTTACATTTCTTGTCTGAGTTTCATTGATCTGTGTCCTGTGTGTACATGCCTCCTCAATGGTCTGTATTTTTTCTGTTCGCATTTGATGTATGAAAAGATTTTGTACATATATCCAATATATATACACACCCATATAGACATACAGATTTATACCCTTGCAGAGAATCATCTATCATAGCTGAGCTATGAAGATACATGGCAGAGGCAATTGAATTGAAGTAGGGGGAGGGGCCCTATGGGATACAAATACAGCAAATAATAAACCTGATTGCTGACCGTCAAGGTTATAACTGCAAGGGTATAACAAAATTACGGCATGCCGTAGTTATGTCCTCCTGCTCCTCCTTCGCACAGTACGTACAGTTCTCTTTTATATTAATATTTAATATAATTTTTAACTTTCTGCATTAACAATTATTCTGAAATGTTTTTGTTCTCAATTGCGACTTGGTTTCCCTATTCTTTTTTGTTTTGCCTACTCCGTGGCATGCCTTTTGCTTTCTCTGGTTCTGTTTTACATTTTATCAATCTTCTTATGTTGTAGTGGTGGGGTGCGGGGGGATAACTTTTAATTTAGATCGGATTCAGTTTGGGGATTGGTGATTACAATGGGGTACGGGTATGGGGGGGCATTGGCGCTTGGTATTTCAGCTTGTTTTACACTCGTGTCCGATTCATCGCTGGCTTAGCTTAGTTATCTTTATCTATCCATGACTCTCGTCATTCTGTATAATCCCACCACTCCTTATCATAGCCCTCGTGCACATGATGTAGCAGTACAGTGCAGCGCTTTTCACAATACCTGCAAACAAAATGGAACATGGAAGATGGTGAAGAGGTCGATCGATCGGTGGGTGGTTTGTCTTTATATATTTACCTGTATTTATCTTGCACTTTCTGTTTAATATCAGCCAAATTTTCAGATGTAATATCACGTTCCAAGTACTCGGACAACGTCTCTGTTGCCGACTCCAGGTCCTTTTGATTATCCTCGAATATCATGGATTGATTGTTCTTTTTCAAGTAATACGCAAACACGTACGTGTACATGAGAGTCTGGCGACACTGGCAAAGTATGTCGACAGCCTTTTTCAGAAATTGAACCTAGACATAAATAAAAACAAAACAAAAACAATGTACAAGAATTCGGACAATTATAGGACAGCCAGGGACACACTGCGTAGCATACGCGTACATACCTCAATCCAGGACATGTTGTGCTGCTGCATTTCCTCCATCTTCTGCTTCACAGACGCATACAATTTGTTCTCGAATTTCATTGACTGCATGTGATTCATGTAGCGATTATAGTAATGTAGATATCTGAAAGGGGATACACCGAATACAGAGAATGATACGTGGGAAGAAGGGATGAATGACGTTGGGTATGATGCGCACCTGGCCAGTGATGAGCGCAGCTTCTCCTGGGCATCGCGTGCCGTTTTGGCCTCGTCCTCGTCATAGCGATTGCAGTTGTACCAGGAGGAGCCGTGCGGCTCCCACGAACCGAGACACACCCAGCAGAATTCGTATTTGCAATTCTGATTCTTGCACACCATATGATTGCAGCCGCCATCCTTCTCGATGGTCACACTGCACTTGGGACACTCTTTGGTATTGGCCGCAATCCAGTTGGACGTCTCCGAGTCATCGTCACACTTCTTGATCCACTTCTTAAGCCAGCGGCATTTGACCGGATCGTGCCAGTTCTCGCCGCAGGCAAAGCAGAACACATGGCCACACTTGCAATGGACACGGCGCGGCTCCGCATACGGCACCTTAACCGCATTTGTACAATCGGCGGACGGACACCATCTCAGCAGTTGGTTGCACTCCACGAAGCTGTTGGTGATCAGCTGCTGGTATTTGACTTTCACCCGTGCATCGAGCACCAATTTGGTAACGGTCACATCGTCCACTAGGATATCACAGCCGTGCGCCGCGCACGATATGGTCTGGCCCAGACCCTCCGTCATGATCTTCGTTGTCAGATACTCGCGCCAGCAAATCAAGCAGAAACGATGTCCGCACTCCAAACCGGTCATGGACTGCATTACAGAGACACGAGACAAACAGAGAGAAACACATAATACTGGGAGTGTGAGTGTGAGTGAGAGCGAGAGATTGAGACATTGGTTAACGATGACCATGCCATCTCTCGGGGGGGTCATTTCCTGTTTGATTTAATTCGTTTCTACTCTGCTGGCCTATCGCAATGATAAGCTATCAAAATGCTGTCCGTCTCGATTAATTTAATTCAAATAATAACATTTAAAGATTACGTTTAATCTTGGGTCTGCTTCTTGGAATTGTCCTACTAAATCTTCTGTATCTTGCATGGACATCATGTTCAACGAAGCTTCTGCCAATAGCTGGTACAAATCGGAGCACTAAGTCATCTAATATTCTTTACATATATCCCATATCCTACCATATCCTGCACTCCATCTTTATATCTGTCGTTCCTAATCTTTTATATCTCGCTCGATCCGCCAGGGGGCACCCACTGGTCAGGAAAGTGACAGAAAGCGGCAGGGGAGTCAGTCACGGGAAATGGAACACTTTTTAAATATTATTTACCCTTGTTGCATTATTAATTGGGTTTTTCTAGCTAGTTATAGTCTCTGAGATCTATGCGCTTATCAAGACAGACAGACTGACAGACATAAATACTTGATCTAAATTATATGCATATATATATATATGTATATATATATATATCCAATGAATGAACTTTCTCTCGTTATCTACACATCCATGCATGCTTTGTAGCCAAGGGATGACTCATGGGAAACCTCCAGACTGTGCTCCTACATATCCAGCCGCTGCTCGGTGAACATTTATGGACGGTGGGTTAACTTACGTCTGGCGGCAGCAGTGAGAAGCATATTTCGCACTCTTCGCACTGGCTACGTGTCGTCTGCTAAGGGATAGAGATAGAGATTAGATATATGTCAGTTAATTGAACTCGAGTAGGTGGAGCATGAACTCACCTTTTGACGGACTGCTTCGGTGGCCTTGTTGGGATTAATGACATGTGCGCATTTGAAGAAGTCCTCCGGGTTATCATCGAAATATTTCTCCAATAGCTTCTCCCTGTCCCACTTGAAGTGATTCAGCAGAATTCGTGTCTTTGTCGTGGGCAGCTATAAAATTTAGAAATCAGACAAAGAACGAGGCAAAACAAAGATACGAGTGTTAGTGGTTGGGCAACAGCAACAGCAGCGGCAGCAGCAGGATGATGATGATGATGGTGAAAAGCAGGAACTGGGTCCATACCAAATTGCCATCGAAATCAATGCCAAAATTCATCAGACATCAGCTGATCGGTCGAAGCAGGGGCAAAGAGTAAACAGAATGGCTTTCGGATGTGGATGCCAAATGAATATTGCAAGTGTACAGGGGGACAACTCGGAATGGAATGAAGTGCGACTGCAGCTGGATTGCAGTATGCATTGATTTCCGAATTGGATTAGCAGGTATCACATGGAATGACAATCTGCGACCTTGTCCTTGGGTAGAGAAAGAACAGAACCCATTCGAATTGGTCCACTACCGAAGACCAAAGGGCCAGATTGACCTTCAATTTCTACATGATCTGCAGCAAATGGGGCTGCTGGCTGGCTGACTGGCTGGCTGACTGGCTGGCAAGAATGGGATGAGGTGGGGGAATCACACACACACACACACACATACACATACACACACACATATGTATATACATACAGACAAAATGTTGCCTCGCCTCACCTTAAGCAGCAGATTAACATCATCGATTATCTCCCTCTGATGTTGCACAATCTCGTCTGTGGTTAGCACCTTGTACTGGTAGTCATCGGGATCCATTTGACGCTCTGCTGAGCTGGGCATATCCACCTCCATGCCAAAATCATCATCACCATCGTCGCCCGACGACACATTGCCCGAGTCGACATTGTCACAGAAATCGTTGTCGTTATCCGAGTCCATGGCTGTATTGTATGTATGTATTTTTTTTTTATGTTTTGATGTTAATACACTTTGCTACGATATGGTTATTGTTCTGTTTTATACAAATTGATTTGTTTTTCACTATGTTTTTTGTTTACCTCTTGATTAGTTATTCTACGCACTTTCTGCCCCCGTTCCGTTTTGGATGGGGTGCTGGTGGTGGTCGTTTTGCTTCTTGTATCAGTGGTTGCAGTGTTTCTTCGATTTATTCCATAAATTTGTTGCACTAGTTGCACTTAAAGACTAAACTATTGCCAGGTTTGTGTTGTGTAGTTGTTTTCTTTCCTCTTGCTCTTGCTGCTCTTTATATATACATATATATAACATAACACATCTATCTATATACGTCGAAATATGTCATAGTCTGATGTGGTCACATTAAAGGAGATGTGTTTCAGGTTGCACGTTTAACTAATGTTGGACTTTTATCGTTCAATTTGCTGAATAAGGTGTTTCTTTTCTTTTTTTTTATTAATTTATTCTTAGTTCGTTCGTTTTCTTGCAACATTCGTAGATAGTATCGGGATAAGCGATGTTTTTATGGTTTTCTAGTATTTTTCAAAACGCGTTATGGGCATAATGAGCTTTTTTCTTGAACGTCAGGTGGCTCTGTTGATAATTACATCTCTGTGTAGAAGTTATCGGTATCAATGAAAGAACAATGAAACTATCAATAAAATAATGAAACGCAGTTATCGGTATCAATGAAAGAACAATGAAACTATCAATGAAATAATGAAACGCAGCTATCGGTATCAATGAAATAATGAAAAACACTCTGGTCGACACAACGCCACCTATCAGAAAATCCGCACACCATGTCGGCAGTATGGTCACACTGAAAACTAGATTGGTGCTGCACAACGCCAACTTTTGCACTCGAAACTCGAAAAATTCTGGCGCCAACAAAATGGTTGTTGACCAATATGATTGAAATTAAAACAAATGATTTTTATTTTAAATCTTTATTGCTTGCATCTTTCTTTTGATAATTCTATTGTATTGTTCACGTAAATACTAGATGATGTTGCAGCATCACTATATTCGAGCTCGCTCTGATCCATTTCGCTCATCTTCCATCTCCTTCTAAATGGCGTGCCCACCAATCTGAAAGAGAACGCCTACCAATGTTCCTATTCTAAATAAATCTACGATAATCAACAAATTTCGTATTACATTTAATGAGTCATACGAAATTTATCAAACATCTTTTTGTTTTGGGATTGTTTAAGGCTCGTAAAACGTTACCATTGCAATATTTTTTTTTTGCAACATTTTACATGCCTTTTTGACTTATTATTATTATTTTTTTTTTTTGTCGGCTTGTAAAACGTTACGTCTAAGGCGTCATATTTTTCTTTTCTTTTTTTCCAATTTTCATTTCACTCTTTTTCGTGTTGAACAGAAAGACAGACGAGTCAGTCGTGAAAAACCATTCTTTTTCCGCTTGTCAAACAATATCTCAATTGGTTGAAACTCGGAATAACTTTTTTAATTCATCTTTGCGCCCACGTTTCATTTTGTTTTGGCTTCGGAAAACGGTTCGAACATTTCATTTTTAGGGCGCAAAAACAAATAAATAATGTCTGTCGAACCATTCTCTAAAGCTACTATGCACTATAAACCACACTGTCCATTTACTTTTACCCCTTTGATGGCCATCTGAAACACTCTGAAATAGAAGAAAAAAAAAGAGTAAAAAACGATTATTAGTAACTTGCAACGTGTCTTCTTAAATGGTACCAACTAGGGACACACACAGCTAACTGGTCTTGTCTGGTATCCAGCTAGAGGATCTCGGCAGTTAGCCCACCACACGAGAACAAAACGTGAGAGCAGTGAGAAGGAAAATTATTAATAGGTCACCACCATTTTGTGCGCGTGTGTGTTTTGCCAGGCGAGCATGTATGCGTTGAGTAACCTTTCAATGGCAACTGTACCATTACCAGCACCATTTGTTGCCGGCCCCCCCCATTCTGTCCTAAGGTTTTGGGCACTCCTTCTAACCACGCTAACGTAAATCAAAACGTTTTACACTCTTTTACAGCTAACAATGTTGCCGAATTAGTTTTTTTTTTTCTTAGTGGACTTGGAACAAAATAGCTGCGCTGTGGGTGCTTTTATAAAACAATTTGTCTATTTTACGTTTGCTTTGTCTTGTTTTGGGGGTTCAATGAGTTTCTAACATCAGGCTTAGATTATTTAAGGAATAACTAGTTTGTTTTAATTATTTTTGGGGAGGAATTTGAGAGAAGATCACTTTTGTCGACTTACTTTGGATACGAATAATTTTTTTTGGCAAATAGTGTTGGGTGTTGTGTTCGCTCGAAAATTGAACGATGTTTATCCAACACTATAGAACTGAAGCAGCGACGCCAGAAGCGCTGCCATCCGTGATTGCGTTGATATTCCTCGATTTTGATATTCGGCTTAAGATTACTAGCTAACTAGAAGCCTCCTCACTGATCATATAATTTTCTACGATAAATGAATCCATTTTCTACAAAATATGCTAATTTGAAGTATTCAAATCCATTGAAATATTTATACAATGGGATTTAATAAGAAAATATTTTAAATATCGAAAAAAATATTCGAACACGCTAGAAAATACTAAACAAAAATACTTTCTTCTACAAAAATAAATCGAGTTCGAAATGTACAGGATCGATCCTAAATTTTTCGGTTATTTTTTGGTTTTCTAGATTCTTGGATCGCAATTGGGGTTAATGTGATTTCAGATTTTTTGGATCTGGTTGGATCTGCTGTAAGTCGAGTGTAGGAACATATGATTCTACAATATTCAATCTTTTCACTCGCGATGAGGCCCAGGAAGTGTGTCTTAGCATTAATTGAAAGTAAAGTTTATTTTGGAATCGATCAGTCGTTTATTTCGTTATCCCCCTCATCCAAGAGCAGCAGGGAGCCCTTCTCCTTCCGCTTGCTCGGACGTACCTTTTTCTGCTGCTGCAGTGCGGCAACCTGGGCGGCATGCATCTGCCGGCGGTGCTTGTGCATGTTGCCCGAATTCTTGAAGGTGCGCTCACAGAAGGCACACTCGTACAGGTCCTGGCCGGTGTGTGTGGCCGTGTGCTCCTCGAGGCCACGACTGCTCTTGAACTCCTTCCCGCAGTGTGTGCACTTGTGATACTCCTTCGGATGATGATACCGAATGTGGGCAGCAAGCTTTGCGCGCGAGTCCTTCACTAGGCCGCACTGTCCACACTTCCATTCGCGCGTGGACGCCGCATCGCGATGCATGTACATGTGCTTGCGCAGGCTGTTCTCGTCGCTCAGCCAGGTCTGGCATTCCTGACACTGCACCTCCGGCAGCTGTGAGCCCTCCCGATGCACGGTGCGCTTGTGTACCAAGAGATTTTGCTTCGTCTTGAACTTGGAGCCGCAGGAGTCGCAGATGAAGGGCACAAAGGTGGGATCGTGAGTGCGACGCATGTGCAGGCGCAAATCGACAGCAGTGCGGAATCTGTGGGAGCGATGGATATATTAGTTTGAGCAGCGCGATTCAACAGCCACAGGTCACAGCCACTTACGATCTGTCGCAGTGCTTGCACTTTTCGGTGCGCTCCTGTTGGTGGACACGGGCGTGGATGGTCAGCAGGAATTGCTTTGAAAACCGCTTCGAACACTTGTCGCAGGCGAAGCTCAGCTCGTCCTCGTTGGAATGAAACCGCAGCATGTGCACGTCGTAGCTGATTCTGCTGACCAGCTGCTTCGCACAAATCTTACATCTGCAAAAGAGATTCAGCTGAGTGTGGAGAAGCAAGTATGGCCGGTGGCCGGTATACACACCTAAAGTAATCCGGATCGTTGTGCATTCGCAGATGGTCCACGTAGAGAGCACGCTTCTTGTAGCGCCTCTGACAGCACATCACATATCCGGCCGTCTGATGCTCATTCCGATAATGTCGCTTGAGCTCGGCAAAGTTGTGATACTGGGAATCGCCGCCGCACTGACAGCATTCCAGGCGACCGTGTGCCGCAATGTAGCTATCCATTTCGCCGCTGTTGCTACTCCCAGCGATGTCCAGCTCCGACTCAAGGTGACGCTTCGGTTTCGCTTTCAATGGTCTGGCCTTCTGGGCGGCCCGGGGACGCATGCTGCGGCGTATGGGCGACGGAAGGCGTACCCTTCGCCTGGTCGTAGTCCTGCCACTGCTTGGCAGTGGTTTCGTGTCTATGTCGATCTCATTGTATTCGTTTGTATCGGCCGAGGGGCTGACATCAATCTCTGGCTCGCACAATATCTGTGCCTTGGTGTCCTCGTCGTCATCCGAGAAAGGCTCCAGCTTCAGCGGCAGCCCCAGCTGTTTCTTCATCACCATGGCGCAGAACTGTTCAAAGTCGGCCAGCTGCTGCCAGCATTTGGTGCACAGGCACTTGGATACAGCATCGTTGGGCATCAGCTAATGGGCGGACAATCAACATTTCAATAGTGTCTTGTCTGGTCTCGTCTCGAATTTTTGAATGCAATTTTTGTACTCACAACCAATTGCAGGTGTTTCTCTATCAATTCGGCCAGGTTGGACAGCGATGGCTGCATTGGGCTGTCGACGCCGTCAAAGATGGGGACACTGTGCTGGGCATCTTCGAGACACAGACGGCATATCATTTCATAAATGTGGAAGCAAAAATTTAATTAAAAATTAAGGCAATAGAGGTGTCAAACCATCGAGGGCACTATCGATAGTATCGATATTTTACTGCTAGCCCCTACTATCGACGGTTTTGCGACTATCATGAAAGTATCGAGCTACAGTCGTTTCGCTTTTGATATGTTTGGATTGGCTGCTATAAACTACGAAGACACATTTGTAAACACATCGACAGGTGGCATCTAATTTTTACAATAGACAAGTTCCTAAAAGGTTTCAATGGTTTTTTAATAATTATTTGAGCCCGATACAATCACGATAGTATCGATTGTTTTTTCAAAACATTCAACGTTGATATTCCTCGATTTTGATATTCCGTTTAATATTACTAGCTAGCTGGGACTTTCAGCCCTAAGCAAATAGTTTTATCCGATAGATACATACATTTTCTGCAAGATTGGCAAGTTTTCTGAAGTCCTTTTTATTGGATTATTAACATATTAAGGTTCAAACTAAAACAACATAAAACGAATGTGACGTCGTTTTGTGGCGCTGCCAGACTCGTGCAATTCGTAGTTGCTGCGGGCTGCCATACCATGCCCTGGTTTTTGATTGCATTGCTGGTCACACTGCTTGAAATGTAAAAATTCGCACAACAAAAAATTGCTACATACGTATATATATTTTGTTAAATTTTCCGGTAAATGATATAAAAATGGATTGGTATAAAGTGGATGTAGATGAGAGACGCAGCTCGAAATTTCCAGAGCGCGCTATTCCCGGCTACTGCCAGCAGAGTGACGACCGCAGTGAGTACAAACAACACAACATACACATACATGTAGCGTGGGTCCGGTCCACGGTCCACAATGTGTGTATTTCTTCATTTGCCCGCCATCTCTTTGCGGGTTTTGCTATAATCCTGCCTTGCCTTCTTGCAGCCGATTACCTTGGCGGCATCATCTATGGCGGCCAGTGGGGATGGATGACAAACAGATACTCAAAGGATGCCACTCTGCTGATCTGTTCGCTGAGCGGGGGCGAGTGCATTTTGCGGCACGTATTCTGGAGAGAAGAGGCTAACAGTGGCCAGCGCTGCAGCATCAGTTGTGTGGAGGAACTCCTTCCTGGCCAAAGAGACGCCATGATATTGCTCGCTGTGTGCCTGGAGACGTGGAGCGATAAGGAAATCCGACCCGAGAACTGTGCCAAGGCCAAGACACAGATTGCCATCCTCTCGACATATTACAATCAGGTGATTCGCTACATCGACCTGGACGGCCTCTACTGCAGCACCCTCAAATATCTGGACACCCAGATCTGCCAACGTACGCGTCTTCGCAACTTTGATGGCTGCCTGGCGGTGGGCACCGATGCGGGAGCTGTTCTGCTCTGCGACATAAAATTACAAAATTTGATTGAAAATCGCAGTCGGAACATACGACTGCCGCAGAACGAGATCGATTGTGGACAGGTGGTCCGAAGGCACTCCTCCGAGTGCTCCATAGACAACATAAACACTTGGCTGCACGAATGTCGCGACTACAATGGCCACTTGGCAGTGGAGGTGGATGGTGAGTTGTTTTTCTTTCTTTTGGATGATGATTTTTGGTTGCTTTATTTTAATTCCTTCTTTGATACTCTTTCGGCATAGTGGGCAAAAGCGAGGTGCGTTGCCTCATATTCGTTCATTTAATCACCGGCTTTGCCGCTGGCCTCAAGGATGGCCGCATTATGATCTACGATCTGGATAGTTTCCATATCACCGCTGTTTTGCGTCCCCCGAGTGACTTGGAGGTGAGCGTGGAGCGAATATGCTGCGTTGTGCCGCCAGATGATCCCAAGCCCTGCCTCTTCATTCTCGGCATGTACGGTGGGGCCACCAATACGACCACCATACTCCATTCCATCCACTACAGACACTCGTACGCGGATGATGAGAGCTACGGAGTCTACTTTAAGGTGAGCCCAAATCAAACCCTCTAATGGCGCTCACTCTTTGAACTGCTTCTGTTCGCACAGAACTATAAGAGCGCCGAAACCTGCATTCGTCTGCTGCTCGATGGCGGCAATTGCTCCGTGCTCGGCTGCACAACGGCCTCCACATGCAGCTTTTCCGGCGACAATGGCACCCTGCTGGCCATACTCAGCTGGTATTCGCACACGGAGGGCAGGAACAAGCTTGTGCTCTTTGACATGAATCAGTGGTACAAGGACGAGATGCCCAACTGCCTGCACCTGTACGAGAAGCCCAACTTTCTGTCCGGCTACTCACTGGCTGGGCAGGCGCCAGGCCTGGGCATTCACCTGAATGCCAGCAAAATTCTGCATTTCATTTCGTTGCAGCGCTACGATGAGCACTTCTATCCGAACTCCTTGACCTTCGGTAAGACACGATCTTAGCTTCGGCAGCAAAGGCCAATTGTGTTCAATGCATTGCGTTCCTTTTAGATTTCTCACTGCTAACAGCTGAGGGTTGCCAGTACTATGTGCACGAGGGGTTGCAGCATCGCTTTCTGCGCAACTTGCAGAGCGAGAAGGCCTCACTCTTTCTGGTTCCGGAGGCCACACACAAGGAAATTGTTCAGCTGCGCCTCCTGCCCCAGTTCAGTGAGCTCAATCCGGATGCCACATTCTCCAAGGTAAGCTCCAAGGTCCATTCCATCCATCGTCCATCTTTGCACAATCTGCCCCTGTCTCCCTTTAGATGGCCATCTATGAGGAGATCCTCTCGGTGGCCCTCGAACACGGCTGTATAAGCTTGCTGAAGGATTGTGCACGAAACTGGATAGATGGCAGCTACATGTGCAACCTGCGCGTTCCCACAGCCCTCTCCCTGTCGACCCTTACCAACTGGATAGTGAAGCGTGCCGCACAGATTAAGGCACGCTGCTCGGAGCTGTGCCAGGGCATCTTTGACTATGGCGGCTATCCGCTGGACGAGCGCGAGCGCAAGGAGCTCAAGGTGCTAAACGGCCAGTTGGGCAATTTGGACAAGCTGCAGTCGTACATCGTGAGTGTGGGCAAGCGCTGCCTGGCGCACTCGCTCCTCACCGAAATCGAGGCCAATGAACAGGTGATCCGCACAGTCTATACCTATCAGCGGGTGCTCCTGTTCTTCATAAGGTGGGGCCTGCTGCCAGAGGGTCAGCAGCAGCTACAACAGCAGGAGGAGGAGGAGGATGATGAGCAGCAGTCGCCGCCTGGCAAGCAGCCGCATTCGGCTCTGATTCAGCTGCGACGTCTCTACGCCGACAGACGCCCGTCGGGGCGTGATAATCTCTACATCGGTGGCCTGTTGCGGCATATTTCCCAGGAGAGTGGCGGCGCAGCCGTGGACCTGGCCTATCCGCCAGACACGCTGCAGTCCATCATGCAGTTGATGTTGTCCCGGACCACCGATATGGATCACAAGCATGAGGTCCTATTGTACTTGCTCTTCGATCTGGACGGTGTCCAGATGGCGAAAGTGAAACTCAGCGACAGATTTAAGACCGCCTTCGGTCTGCAAACGCAGCTCGTGACGCGTGTGAAGTCCCTGTGGGCCCTGGATCACGGCGATCATTCGGTAAGTTGCGAGGAACTACAATTTAATGTGTGTGTTGTGTTCAATCTCCCATCTGATGCCCATCCCATTCCCCCACACGCAGAAATGCATGAAACTGCTCTCGAGCTCCTTGTGTCCAGATAATCCCTACCTCAACTGGCATGTGGAGCTGCTGGTGGAAGCTCTCCTGTCCAAGGGCGCCATCTCGGATGCCATGAGCGTGGTGCATCGACCACCGGGGCCGTTATCCTCTCTGACGCGCTTGAAGGTGCTTATGGCCAGCAAGAACATACCCGAGGCCTTCGATTATGCACGGCGCAATGACAACGACGAAACGGGCCGGCCCCTGCTGGAGTACTTTTTCCGGCAGTCCATCGAGATGCAGCAGTTCAAGGCACTCGCTCAGCTGTGCCTGCGCGAATCGGAGGAGGAGCTGGTCCTGCGCCTTCTCCGGGAATGCAAGACACCGGTGACGGATAGCGTTCAGTTGATTCTGCTGCTGCAGAAGTCAAAGTACATTGAGGCGGTCTCCTTCATGGATGAGGTGGCCGCCGAGCGGGAGATCGCCGCGGGAGATTCCAGCCGTGACATTATCTTTGCCTACCGCTCCACGATGAATCCCGTGTCCCAAACGCTTGCCGGCGCCTACTTTCGCATCCGCGAGAATCTGGATGTGGAGCCAACCGAGAAGGTGCATCCGGAGCCCTTAAGCAGCCAACTGATCCGGGACAAGAAGAAGGGACTGAGGGGCGGCGTCTTCCAAAGCTCTGCCCTCAGCGCCCACTGGGCGACGCTCTACAGCATGGACTCAACGGCGAAAGGACAGGCGATACCCTGCCACCAGGTACCCTTCCTGCGCAGCTCGCTGTACGGCCTGAGCCAGCTGCCCCGTCGTCGACGCACGGTGCGTCCCGTGCCCCACCAGGCGGTGGAGAAGCGTGTACGCGAGCAGGAGGAATCCGAGCTGGTCGGCTGCCGCGGCGGCCGCGCTGGCGACTCCCACACCCTGCAGCCATCCAAGCGGCGCCGTATGCTGAGCGATGAGTTTGTGGCGGGTGTGTGCGACTTCGTTGGGAGAAAGTTGAATCCCATAGCTGAACCAGACCAGACCGAAGTGGATCAGCACCAACAGGCCAACGAGCTGCTCAGGGTGCCGCAGTTCCTGCGGCCAAAGAAGCCGCCGCTACAGCAAAGCATCAATTCACCGCCAGTGACCATACTGAAGCGGCGATCGGCACTCGAGTCAGTGGCCAGCACTCCACCGGTGGCCACATCCACCACGTCCATGGTGGAGGCAAAGCGGTTTCGGTTCATGCAGCCAACGCCACTGCCATGCCATGGCCTTAACGATAGCAATGCCATGGAGGTGGACAGCTCATTGAATGCCCAGGAGAAAGATGAGGAAGATGAGGAGGAGGAGGAGGAGACTGACGAGATAATTGTGGAGATCGAGCCGGCAGTCTCCATCTCGGACAGCAGCCAGTCGGATGAGGATGAGTTTGTGTCGCCCCTGAGTACACCCAATGTTTCGGTGGCCAGCCCCAGATTGAAGGCATCTCCAGAGCAACGACAACAGGAACTGAGTCCCCCGCCCATGGCTCCGCCTGCTGGACCTCAACCACGCAGCTCGCTTAACCAGGGCGTAAGGAGTGAGAGTAGCAGCGGATTCGGTAGCTTTGCCTCCGTCCTCACGTCAGAGACGGCATCCCACGAGTTTGTGCCCACCGTCTGCTCCTCAAAAATGGGAACACAGTCGATAATTTCCACCGGCACAGCCACAGCCACCCCACCTCCAGCACCAGCACCAGCACCAGGACCTCTGTTAAGATCTCTGAGCGTACCACGATCTGTGGGGAGATGGACGATCCCGATTCCGAACCAGACTCAACCGCACCGGACTGGTACTCGTCGCCACCAGTTCGATTGCAGGAGCAAGAGCACAAGGAGCCCCAAATGCTGGACACCACACTGGGCATGTCCACATACGATGTGACGGCACGGGAGGAGCCGCTTCTATTGACCACGAAAAATGACGATATTATGCAAGTGCTGGAGGTGGAGGAGGTGGAGGAGGAGGAGCCATGGCCATTGGAGGAGATCGATGAGGAGATACAACTGGAGGAGATCGAAGAGGATGAACTGATGGAGGATTATCTGCAGGAGGCCCAGGAGCAAGCCCAGCTGCAGGCGAGGCCCAGCAGCTACAATCGAACGTACATGGGCAGCTCCGATGATCCGCCCCAGGAGCGCAGCACCTCGCCCTCCCTAAGCCTGAGCAGCGAAATGTCGAACATGTCCTCGTCCCGCACCCTGCCGGAGGCCATGCAGAGTGCCGATGCCATGTACTCGATTGTAATCGAGTCGACCGGCTCCATAACCACATCGCGTTCGGTCACTCACACGCCCACCTCCTTCCTGCCCAGCGACACGAATGTGTCCCAGAACTCGAGTCCGCGGGCAACGCGCGGCACGGGCGGCAACGGCTCACCGCGTGCCCTGTACCGGGCCAATAGCCTGGAGACCGTCGATGATCTGGATACCACCAAGGGGTCCCTGGAGGAGGAGGAGGAGGATGATGAGGATGACTGTGTGATCGCCCTGGATGGCACTCGGGTGGGCGGCTATGTGGCCCGTCCCTCCCAATCGGCGCCCTCCAGCAGTGCCGAGCTGTTCGCCTTCAAGGATGAGACTCACAAGGAGAACGTCCCTGGCGACGGTCCCTCCCTTTCCGTTGGAGCTACGGCTACGGATACATCAATTGTCATTTTGGACAGCAGCGAAGATGAGGTTGAAATAAAGGCTGAGGTTGAGGCTGAGGCTGGGGACAGGACTGGGGATGCTTCGAAGTTAAAGTCCAGAGTGGACTCTGGTTCGGGATCCGATTCAGGATCAGAGACGGGAGATTCCGGTTCCGGTTCGGGTCCGTCATCCCCATCGGGATCTGGTTCTGGATCTACATCCGCATCCGAGTCAGAATCCAGTTCTAGTTCCAAATTGTCATCCAGTGGCGCTGCAGCTCCAGCGGTAAATAAGTTGCCTTTGCCCCCGCTTCCCGAGATTGCGGAGGATGTGGAGGTCGAGTCGCCGGATGAAAAATCCCCGCAGAACGTTCCCGAAGAGAGGAAGGAGAAATCTGAATCGAAAGACGAGGAGCAGAAGGAACAGCAGCAGCAGCAGCCGCAGGCCGAAGATGAGCCACAGACGACGGCGCATGATGACGACTCCAAACACAGTCTCACGTTGGCCTTCTCCGACGATGAGGAGGAGCGTGTTGCTGCAGTCGCCCCAGTTGCACCACGCGTCCTTCGCTCGCGTTCCAAATCTAGGACCAGTCCAGTCCCAGTCCCTGTTCCGCCGTCGCCAACGAAGCCTACTCTAAGGGCGCGCCTGCGCAGCGGTGACGGTTCGTCCAGTGGCGGCAGTGGCACGCCACCTGTGCTGACGCCAAAGCGCCGCAACGGAGCGCACCACAAGAATGCGCTGGAGGTGATCGACGAGCAGAAATCTCTGGGCTCTGGTCCAACGGTGGTGCTCACCCGTACGCGCAAACAACGAAGCGTGGAGCCGGAGGGCACTCCAACAAAATCAGCGCGCGCCAAGCGAGCCACCTCGACGACTCCGCTGTCGCAGGCAACAACCGCTGAGCCCCGCCAGTTGCGTGGCATTAGCGAGCCACCCGTGAAGTCCGAAAGCAGAAAGCAGCTCAGGACGAGCGCAGCCGAGGAGAAGTTGCCCGAAGCGTCCGGGCTTGAATCGGTGCCTCTGGTGCGACGCACCAGCAGACGACTCAACTCTGGGCTGAGCGATCAGCAGCCGTCGCCTGCGACCACCCCCATACGGGAAATAGCTGGGCGCGAGCTTCGTCCTCGTCGCACTCGAACCAGTTCCGAATCTGTTGCGTCGCCCGCCACACCAACGCCGAGACAAGGTAACAATTTCAGTTCATACTGCTGTCGGCCGAATCAATGATCACTCATCCCTGATCTTCTTTCATTTCCTCTTGTCTAGTGAGCAGCGAAGCCAATGTGCCCCTCAAGAAACGCGGAAGATCAAAGCCAGTGGATGATGGCGATGGCAAATCCAAGAAGTGAATGGAACACTAGCATTGCAGCAGACACTAGAAGACTCTTGTGTTATTGTATGGCCTTACCTCACACCAACTCCCCCATCCATCCCCCCCTACCCACACATGGGCTTTACGTTTTTTTTGTTTAAGTTTAAAATTGCCAATTGGGCAGAAAAAAAGTGTTTAGAGTTTCAAATAAAGTGTTAGAATTTCCAGCTGAAGGTGTTTAAATGCAGATTCCATGCACATTCCAAGCCAATAAATGGCAGCGACTGAAGATCCAATAAACATTAATCATCATACGAACATACGAAAATTCAAGTCTTTTCATTTATTTTTGCCAAGTTAAAATGTTACATTTTCTAAAGACAATCCAGTGATTAATCGAATAATTCGAGACGACTATTATGCATCGTTATACGTTATATATAAAAATTTTAGGTATTTTTTATTATTTAAATTTGTATGAACCCGAACGCCGCCTAAACGTCTAAGCCATTTGGTAAATGAAAAAAAAAAACATTTTTCTAGGCGAAAGTCGACTGGTTAAAAAGATGAATATAGCCCAATTGTATTGTATTTTATTTTCAGTTTAATTTCAAATTTCAGTTGCATTTTCAGTATATAGTACGGCAAAGCCAAAAAAAGCTGCACATCTGGCAGCGCTGCACATTTCGGCAATCGAGTACGGCAACGCTAAGGGCCTACAATTACAGCCAGCGCTACCTAGCGCTGCATTCGACCATAAAATTTGACCGTCGGCTGCGCTGGTGTGCATAAAGTTTATCCTATAAACTGTGAGCACTGGGCATAAGCATACTTTTCAGCTGAATAATAAGCAAAATTAGCAGACGTAGTTCAAACGCCGACCGCTATGGGACGCCCCAAGTCATCGCTCCAAAATGAGGCCTAACTAACTAAGTACTTACTAATTTATAAGTGGATAATAAAGTTTTAAATGTTTGCACAACCAAAATTGGACATTAGAAAATCTTTGGAGAAGGGAACGGATCTTCCGCGCTACATGGGATCTGATTAACATATATCAGAAATACCTAATATAAATTATTCTACCTTACCTCACTCATTCAGATAGATCCATCTTCCAGCTCTTTATGGTCGCCATCCCACCCAACACTTGGCCATGCACCCACTTCCGCCCAAGAAAGGAACTATTTGCCTAACTATTTGTGAGTAGAATTTTAATTTAAAATTAAAATTACATTTATGCACTTCCAAGTCGATACTTAAGAATATATAGATATGTACAAATATATACAGCAGTTGTCCTTGTGAAACGAAGGCAAATCGGCAAGAAGGGGACAGACATTGGCAGCAGCAGCATCAGCAGCAGGCTAACGTTGTACGGTGGATTGGATGTCGTCTAAGGCTACGTATTTATCTACTAGCTAAAGTCTAAAACTGATTCATCAGTGGATGGGGGGGGGTGTGCTCGTCTAGACGAGCGTGGAAAGCTCGTGCAGCGAGATTGTGATGTTGCTCATGTCGAGCGTGGGTGGGATGCCCGGACTGACTGACCCGCTGGCCTCGCGACCCACCAGACAGCTTCCGGAACCCCCGCCTAGGGGCTTCGGCGTGGGTGGTGTTGCTGTAGACGGTCGGACAAGAAATGAGGAATTGATGGCTCCGCCTCCTCCTCCACCTCCACCTCCGCCGCCCATGATGTTGTTGCACAGCAGGGGATTGAAGCTGCCGTGCGAGTGATTCGGTGAGACAGGAGTCACCGAGGTGGGCTGCAGCATGCAGGCATGGTTGCCCTGGTACAGCTGCATTTGGTGCGGGGCCGGGGGTGGCGGGGAGCCAGCATGGAACTGTACAGGCGGCAGGGGAAGTGGCAGTGGCAGCGGCAGAGGCAGCTGGGCTGCCGACAGCAGCGACATGTTGTGTGGCAGGGATCCCACAAGAGTCCCATGCAGCGGAGCGCTCCGATAGCTAATGGTCTTCTCCTTCTGCCACACGAACACATTGTGGACCATGGCGCCGCCGCAAAAAACGATACCCACGCCGATCAGGACGCTGGTGATGATGGCGGGCGTAGAGTGAAAGTGATTGAAGGTGTAGAGGATGATGCCGGTGAGGAATACCGGAATGGAGATGAAGAATCCGCTCACCGCACACGTGCGACTGGCACTCGATTTCTCCAGATACTTGTTGTCGCGCCCCTCGAAGGCGGGCGAACGCAGCTTGACGGCAAACAGGAACTGGATGGCGCAGACGAGCAGGCAACAGAGATTCAGGGATAGCGACAGGGCGCACAGGGCCAGTGTCACGTCGTAAACAATGATAAAATCCTCGCTGCTCACGCCCCTGGACAGGGCATCCTCGCGCCCATTCGGCGAGATCTTCAGCAGAAAGATCAGCGAGAGCAACGCCAGCAGCAGGGAACCTGAAACAGATCAACGGGTCAGGTCAGAGACTGGTAGTCGAGACTCCGAATGGCACTCACTCAGGCAGAGCAGACCCAGGCTGGTGAGGGCTTCGCGAGGCGACGGTCCTGGCTTGGACAGCTTCTGGAGCATCGGCGGATTTCCCGTCAGATTGTTGCAGTTGCTGTAATTGTGCTGCTGCAGTTGGCTGAGATGTTGCGGCTGCGGCGATTGTGGCTGCATCAGGGAGTGGGACAACTTCGGCTGTGCCGGCAACGGCAGTATCTGTTGCTGTTGCTGCTGTTGCTGTTGCTGCTGTTGCTGTTGGTGGCTGCTGGCCAGGATGTGCTGATTCGTGTAGGTGTGATGGTGCAGGCTCCCATTGCTGTTGCAGTGTCCGTTGGGAGTGAGTGGCGTCAGTGGCGTCAGCGGTTTCAGTGGCGTGGGGGTAGTTGGCATGGCAATGTTAAGTAGATTGGAGGCCGCATTTGCCACTCGGCACCCGCCATTCAGAAGCGTGCTGCAGGTGGATGCATTCAGACCGGATATGTTCAGGGGCTGTGGCTGTGGCGGTCGCAGGTGAATGTTGCGTGCCGTGCTGGCCAAGGCAGCTGCTGCGGGTGTTGGCGAACCTGCCCCGGCTGCCGCAGTGCCTGACACAGAGCCATTCGTGGTGGTTGTTGTTGTTCCTCCTGCCACTGCTACTGCTGCTGCTGCTGCTACCCCTACTGGAACGGAGGGTGTGTTGTTGCCGCTTCCACTGCTTCCGTTCCCGTTCCCGTTGTTGCTGCTGCTGTTGTTGTTTTACTGCTGCTGGTACTGCTGTTGGCACAGACTGAAGCGGTGCGCAGCAGCTGTCCATTGAGCGGCAAAGCCACTGTAACTGGTGGCACGGGCAGCGGGCCGGTGGTAGTGGTGGGGGCGGTGGCGGAGGCGGAGGCAGAGGCACTGCTCGCATTGGAGGCGTGTTTCAGCATTTCCTGTAAATTGGCTTCAAATGCGGTTCAACGCTCGCTAGATGGCGCCACGTTTGCATCCGACTCAGCGGCGCTGCACATTCTGAGCGGAGCGGAGCGAAACGAACCGAACGAGCAGGTGGATTGGATGGGATGGATGGCTGGGATGGATATGATGGATGATGATTCCAAATGAACCCAAGATGCAACGATTTCTATCTGGAATGGAATTGGAATCGTATGAAAAATCTCTTCAGTTCAGTTTTGTCTTCTTCCATCCGCTGCACTTTCACATATGTACGTATGCATGCTTTTTCCACTTTCCCATAAATGAGTAATTAGTTGGTGGGGAACTTTTTGCAGAAATGGAAACTTCAGTGGTATGGAGCGAGATGCCAAGAGTTGTTGGTGCCCTGCGACTATGAACAGTTGTAACGGTTCTTCTGCCCTTCAGTGGAAATATCGCAACAACAACAACAACAACAAAAGTGGCCAATGCAGCCATGCATTAGGATCGTTTTGGTTCCCACAAAACTGCACCAGATTCTATGGAACTTTGAATTCAATTACTCGGAAGTTACATATGTATATTCCGCTGAGCAAACGGTTTTCGTCTCTCTCCACAATTTATCAATTTTGCACTTTTCACAGCAGAAAAATAATGAATAAAAAAAAAACACTCAGTCGCGGGATTTATAAAGAAAAACACACACAAAAAAGATCAGCGAACGGAAAATTGCAATTGGCAGGTTGTAAAACAAGTTTACCTCTGTATTCTGTTTTGGGTATTTCTTAATTTCCTTTCCACTCTTGGCCTGGCCAGTGACATTTACATGGCGGCCATTCTGATATCACAAAACAAAAACAGCCGAAAAATGCCGATAATTATTGGTAATGAATGGGGACTGAAATCAAATTTCAGGCTGGCGCGTAAAGACGTCTCCAGCAGACCAAGATCAACAAAACGAAACATAGACGCCGAGGCCGTTGAGGAAGCGACAAATGAACGATGTGATGATGGGTATATGTATATGTTGTATATGCTTGGATATGGATATGTTCAAAAACATCAACAACCGACGACCGAGTGACAACTACGACTATCGATTCGATCGCGGCACTCAGTAGTGGAGTCCATTCCGAAGTCCGCGTCGCATCAGCCGCTGATTCTAACCGCCGGGGGCCGATGCCAGCTATTCGCACAACCAGTTAACAAGTGAACGGGCACACAGACGTGAATGTACAGGTGAGCGAGGGTACGAGCCAGCGGCAGACACCACAAAAATACCAATACCAGTGTGGATTCCAATCGTTGCCACAGTGGACACAGATCAAGCTGTAACTGGATTGGGTGCCACACCATGGCAAGGAAGTTGCGTTGCTCGAATGCGGTCCACTGTGCAACAAACCTGATCAGCACACACAGACGCGGCACACACACACATACACTGATGCACAGGTAAAGAAAAACGATACAAGCAAACGATATCAATGGTCGGAACGGCTTCCAACTTGCTAAGCCACATTCCACGAGCCATGGCTCTCTGGGCCTGGAAGGCTGCTGTCGGTTGTTTCCTTGCATACCACACATCACATCACATTCATTGCATAGTACGTGCGATTATTTTGTATGTTATGATGTAAATATGCATGCAATACCTTATGTTTCTACGATCATAACGGCTGGATGGAAACACCACACACAGTGCCTTATCAATAATTAACGAACATTAATTTAAACACCAAATTTCCACTTGGCCAGCTAGAATTTCCTTTCAGTTAGATTTAAAATTGCCAATGAATTTTCGGCCAGTGCTGTTATCTGTATTCTGATTGTGCAGTGTTGTTAAAATCCCATCCTATCCTCGATAAATATATACAATATGTATCGCGGTAGTATCGTTCCGCTTAAAAAATACCGATATTTCGTCATATTTAACGTCCAAAAATTTTGATATTATTTGCTCTCATATCGTGGTGGTTTTTCAAAATTTGCTCTCTTTTCCGAGGTGAAGAGAGCGTTTTCGTGGTGACTTACTCCTCACTTTCGTGGTGAGCCGCATGTTCCTAACGGGAACCGTAGCAACAATAAGTCTACTTCATCGTGTAATATTAATGAAATGATTTTAAAACTTATCAATGTATATTTTTTTGGTACTCAGCGGACTTGTGAAGAAAAATATTCGGCAATAATTTGTTTCATGGTCGCGCAAACATTTTTTGGACTTTGCCCAGAAAACCACCCCAAATGCTTACTTTCGAACGATTTGATTGGCCGAATTTCGGCTTTAGCCGTTTTTGTTTGAACCTTTTTATTGTAAACAACGCAATAATAAAGACTTTTTAAAACTAGCCCATCTTGTAGAAAATTGATGTATCCATCGGATAAAATTATTTGTTTAGGGCTGAGAGGGCCAACTAGCTAGTAATATTAAACTGAATATCAAAATTGACGAATTTCATATCACAAAATATCACGGTAGGCAGCCCGCAGCAACTACGAATTGCACGAGTCTGGCAGCGCCACAAAACGACGTCACATTCGTTTTATGTTGATTTTGTTTGAACCTCAACATGTAAATAATTCAATAAAAAAGACTTCTGAAAACTTACCAATCTTGTAGAAAATTTATGTATCTATCGGATAAAATTATTTGTTTATGGCTGAGAGTCTCAGCTAGCTGGTAATATTAAACGGAATATCAAAATCATGGAATACGATTTCAATCAGAAAAATAGAACGTTATCCCATTGTCGACCAGGGGGGTATTTAATATATTCACGAAATTTACATAAGCTTAACATATTTTACGCATTACAGGTGAAAGATGTCGGTGCACATTTTTGATTTGTCAGTAAAGAGGAGGATGGAGGTACAACGAGCCTTTACAAACAGTATTATTTTACGCGGTTTACCAAAGGGTGATCAATTTTTTTAATAGAGGGGTATTAAGTGGGTTAAGTCTCGATTGATCGCCGGACTGCCCTGGTTTTTTTATGGTATGGTATTTAAATGGTATTTCTCGAAAATGAAATGGTATTTAATGGTATTTATTTTTTGGCCGGATGGGATTTTTCATCGTTATCGTCACGGTCACGCTGAACCAAATATACAAAACAACAAATCGGCAAAGTTGTATCAGGAGGCTGTTCTGTTCTATTAAATGCAATATAACAGGCTCCGGCCTTTGGAACGCGTTCATCAGGTAGGTCTCCGTTTGGTCTTGTGGGAGGAAGTGAAGTCGGAAAAGTCCCAGAAGTTTTACAAAATCCAAGAATAGAGAGAGAGAGCCAGGGGCCAGCGAGAATATTAATTATGTACATACAGCGTACTCTGCATGTGTGTGTGTGTGCAAGTGTGTGTGTGTGTGTGATGCTGTGTTGACTAATGGTCGGATCGGTAGGGAAGGCGGGGATTAGTGGCGTTTGGTGGGGGAAGGGGAGCCCCAGCGCTTATAATTGGAACTGCCCATAGAGAATTTCGTAATTTTAAATGGCTTCTTGGTTCGTTTTTGGTTAACAAAGTGGTCCGGCAATAACCCAGCTGCTGTCACCCCTTGCACTTTCCCTTACCCACTTCTTTGTTGGCAATGCGCGCGCGCCAAAGTGCATATTGGCCAAAAAACTCCCCACCGCCCTCCCCCACACACACACACACACACACACACACACACACACACACACACATACGCACACACACTGGTTGTGGCGCTGCGTCTTTGTTTGCTTCTGCATCTGCTCTTTGGTCTGTGCTGTCTGCAGGGGGGGGAGAGATTCTCCGACTCCGTCTCTTCTTGCAAGGTTGCAGTTTGCTGAAGTTTAGCTGAGATGACTCAAGGCCCGGCGCTACTTACAGCTGCGCTGACGCCATTCGCTTGGGTCTAGACTCTAGAGCTGGTTATCTGGCTATCTTATCACAAATTAAATAAACACTCATTAATTCGATTCAAACGGAGCGTAAGACCGTGACAAGGAGGCATCTTTGATAGGAAGACGGGATAGTATCTGTCCGTCAGTATGTCAGTCTGTCAATATCTTCTTCCTGTATTTTGCAAGTGCGCACCCGATCGCACTTTGTGTGCGATCTCTGTGTGCGTGCGTTGCGTCAAAAGAGAAACTCTTTCATCGTTTCATTTGATGGTTCGGTCTCTGGCCTGGCCCTGGCTCTGGCAAAAATAACAACGAACGACCTACAAAAGAACGCCGGTTACGGCAAGAGCGGGCGGGCGGGCAGGCAGGGAGGCAGGCAGGTGGGTCGTACAGACTGAGCAACGAGATCATGAATCACTTATCGCGGGGGAATCGCCAGCAGCTTAACAGAATTGATTGTATAAACATTTGACACAATAACAAAAACCCCTGACTAACATTTCATATTGTTTGGGATTTCATTTCGGATTTTCCCTCGCCCCAAACCAACAGAAGAAGACACAAACGGTGGAGCAGCTGCAGCGGAAGGAGATCGGACAGCACAGAAGAAGACGAGCAGCATGAACAAGGTCGGCAAGCACATCCAAAGCGGCATCTCGTCACTCGGCGGTGGCAGTCCTGTGGCCCTCTCGACAGCAACTCTGCTCGGCTCCCCGATAGATGGTGAAACTGGTGTGGCTGGACCGGGGGCTGGCAATGCAACGAATGTGTTCAACTCGATCATGAGCTTCCTGCCAGACAATCGGCCCATCACCTCGCTGCACATTGTCGAGGACTTTGAGCGGTGAGTGGGGGGGGGGGAGTGGGAGTGGCCAGTGGAATATCGAATGGGTATATATTGAATCTTTGCCCTTGCAGCTGCCCAAAGAACTTCAGTGCTATTAATCGCACCTATGACCAGGATGCTGACGCAGATCTATGGCGTGACTATAGCATATTCGCGCGCCAAAATACTCGCTATCTGTGCCTCTCGAAGTCCGAGGGACTGCCCGACTATGTGGTGGAGACGCTCCAGTAAGTTGGCTCTCTCTTCTTCCACGCTTCCACGCCACGTCATTAAACGGTTTTGTTTTTCTTGCAGAGTCATTGCGGATAAGACGACTCCGCCCAAGGAGTTCTCGCTGCTCTCGCGCACAGCCGACAGCGACCAGAAGGCCTGGCGGAAGCGACAGATCGCCTACAAGCTGTCGAAGCGCGGCACTGTGACCCAAGCGGTGACCGACATCATTCTCTGCTCCAAGCTGAAGGTGGCACCCGATGGCTTCAAGCTGGCCGGCGACATCAACGGTGTGCTCATCTGCTACAAGACGGGCACCATTCCCGTCCGCCTGCCGCCGCCAGTTCCACCAGTAGCTGGCAGCAGCGGCGCCTTTGAGGTGGAGCAGGCCTTGAATCGCCTCAACTTGCAGGGACAACGACACTCGCGTGGACCCGTGAGTGCCTTCCCCTCGGCTTCGTTTGCACTGAAATTTAATATATCGTATTTTTTTTTGTAGCTACCGCAGCCACCAACCGAGCACCATGACTATGAGGAGATTCAGGCAAATTATCAAATCAGTTCGCCACAGCGCCCGGCCCCACCACGTCCAGCGGGCCCCAGTGCCGTTGGGGGAGGACGTGCAACCTATGGCGGAACAGGTACACTAGGGACCTATACAGAACTGGAGGGGGTTCCCTTTGTGATGGACGTTAGGCTGCAGCGGAGTCAGCCAGGAACTGATGTGAGTGTCGGCGCTCACAACCTCTCTTTATCTCTCTGTCTTATTCTGTCTGTTTGCTTATCTTTGCTTATAGCTACCCATACTGCCAGAGCTCACAACGCTGCTTAGATCCTTGGACTATGACTTTCAATTGGAGCGTCAGGTCCTGTGCACCATGAAGTCGTCAGCCTCGAAAAATCCATTCTTCAAGTAGAAATCGATAACAAACAAATTCAATCACAAATGTCAACGTTTAGTCCGTAAGCTCCTCGTAGCCTGAAGCAGCAGCCGCAGCCGCCATAGACGATAGACGATAGACGGACGCCCTAGAAATTATTTAATTGCGATTCAGTTTGGATCGATCGGATAGGATAGGATCGTTGTGTGTGCGTGCGTGTAATAAGTATTCCTGTGCCTTCGATGTCCCTCTTGCATCCCCCTCAGTTATAGTTGGATGTGGAAACCAGTGGAAGCCAGCCAAGTGCAGCCACACAAACTTAATATACACCTATATTTACATCATTCATCATACATCATAAATGATGCATGGATGCATCATACTTAATCCCCAGAATTGTGATCAGAGAAGAGCAAGCGAATGATGAGGTTCTTTTTGTTTTTTTTTTTTTTTTTTTCGTTATGTGTGTACACATGCACATACATATATATGTATGCATATATTTACATGAGAACAACCCAACCCAACTTCCCTCCATGTACAACCAAATCAATTGCGTGCGTATTTACGAGTTGATGAAATATGCCCCCGTGCGTGTCGGACAAATGAATGTTAAAGTTTGAAACAAGTCTAGCAAACGCTATCCAATTGATAATTGATAATTCGAATTCTATTATGTATAACGAGTATATACCTAGTACATACATGCGCGCATACACACACACACACACACACACATATATCAAATATATATAGTACATACACACATGCATACATTTATATGTAGACCAGTTGGTCTTGGCATAGATTACATTAAATGGTAGCCTCTAGAGATGATTAGACTGTAATTGTGTGAGATATCCTAGATTCTTCCCTAGACCCCCCACCCCATCAGTACCCCTGTCCAGCCCAGACCTACCTACCATCTACCACCTAACTAACACAACAAACACTCCACCCGCAATGTTATTATAAAACAAAACAAAAACAGTTCAAAAAAAATAAAAACAAATATATACACCAAGCAAACATATCGAAGCTTTGGTCTATTAGTCTCAACTGAATCAGCTTTCAAATTTAAATGCCTTCAAAGTGAACAAATTTCTTCCCTAAAACACAGTCGTTTCCCCAAGATTGAGGTTATTCTCGCACTCTTTCCTTATTAGGTGGCAACTCTGGCTGCGGTAACGGTAGAAACTTAAATGTCAAATGCCTCGAAGCAGCTGTCAGTGATGCTCCCATTCCAAGTGTTACCATTCTCCCAGGAAAAGTGGGAAAGCAACAGCAACAGAGAGTGAGAAGAAGGCAAGAGAGTGTAAAAATACCTGGGCTAGCCCAGTGCCAGGTCGCCTCGAATGTACCAGCTTTACGCTCTCTCGATTATCTTCGTCTCACCACAAAGCACTCCTCCTCCAGGCCAAAGGACAGCTCTCAAGGTTTGTAAATCTAATTTATTAACACCAAAAAAATGTATTATCAAATATCCAAAGTAATTTCGTGCCTGTTGCATGCCTGTATACGGTGTGGTTATATGTATATGTATATGTATATGTAGGTACTACTAGAACTAATGTCGTTCGCTATATACAGTGGTTCGCTCTCTCTGTTGATTTTGCGTGGCTTTGCTCGATCGATCGGTCATCAGAATATATTTTGGAATAGTAAATCCGGTTGGGATAGCGTCTTCTTCAAGTTTCGCATGCTCAGGCGATGCAGGCGTCGATCGGCGGTGCATCTGTGGGATTGTAGGTTGAAGGGGTTCAGGGGACAGGGATCGAGGATCGAGGATCGAGGATGCAGGTACAGTAGGTTCAGGTTCAGGTTCAATTTTGGATTCGGATACGGATACGAATTGTAGGAGGATTCGGGTGGTTAGCATTTTACTTTCGACACAGCGAGACACATTCAATTCAAGTGGTTGGGGTTGGTATGATGCGGGTGGGGCAGAGAAGCAGCTGGTGGCGTGGGCGGACGTAGGCGGGGATGCGTTGTGCGAGTGGGTGGGAGCGGCGTGAAGACTGCGATACACCATCACCGATACTGGGTGGGGGGAGAGGGGGCCATCACTTACTCGAATATGCGCGAATGATACTCGATCATCAGTTTGACGCAATCGGCCAGCGTTTCGCCCTCGCGCAGCAGCTGCTGTATGTCCTGCATGTGCACGCCCTGCGGCACCGTGTGGAATATGGACGGTGTCACCGAAATGGACAGCGTCTCGGCGCTGATCTGCTGCAGCGGCACCTTGGTCAGCCTGTCCATGCGAGAGAGAGGAGAGAGTAAGCTAAGAGAGTGCCAAAAAGTGCTGGTGCAGCTGCGGCTGCAGCTGAAGCTCACCGATTGAAGTGGCCGAAAATGTAGTCCATGGTATCGCGATTGCTCTCCGGCAGCGAGCGTATCAGTCTTTTCAATGTGTCCAGCTTGACGGCCAGTTCGGTGAGCACTAGAACGGAAGAGTAAATATCAGCTTCGCTTCAGCTTGAGGGGGTATGGATTGGGCATGGGGATATACATACACCATTGATGGGGTGTGCCAATGAACGTCTTGGCCTCGTTCACACTGACCAGCGGACTCTTGATCTCGCGCAGAAAGAGCTTCAGCACACCCGTGAGGGTGTGTATGTCGACATCCGTCTGCCGCAGGGCCTCATAGTCATTCGCATCGATGCTAAAGCGCAGCGTCTGGATCTTGTTGTAGTCGCCGCACTGCCGATAGATGCCCTCGATGGGCTGCGTGGAGCGGCGGTATTTGTGCTCGATGAGGTCGCAGCAATCGACCACAATGCGCGGCACAGTGCGCTGCTGGTCGTGCTTCAGCACCATCTCCAGTTCCGTGTCGAAGCAGGGCTCGTCGAAGAAGATGCGCTGCTCGCGCAGCGTCTCCACGCTGGGCCTGCTCTTCCACCAGTTGGACAGGTTCATCCACGCCACGAGACGCGAGGGTCTCACATTGCTCTTACCCGCCCCACCGCTTGGCCCACGCTGCTTCTCTCTGTCCCTGTCTCTGTCCTTGTCCTTCTCCTGCATTAGTTCGCTGAGCTGGCGGGTCATCTCAACCTGCTTGGCCTCCAGCTCCTGGCTGTAGCTGACCTGGGCCAGCAGGTCCTGCTCCAGGGTGTGCATGCGCTGCTTGAGCTCGTGCCAGCGCTTGGAGCAGCTGCCGCAGCACTCCTTGCTCAAGCTACGCTGCTCCCTATCCCTGTCCCTGGCCCTCGCCTTGGCCCTGCCGCCGGCCAGGGGACTGCTGGCCGAACTGGAGTTGGAGGAGCACACGTCCAGGCTGGTGTTGGACACCAGCACCGCCGATGTGCCGCCGCTGCCATTGCCATCCTCCAGGAGCAGGCGCGTCAAGTCCCTGGTGCTGCTGCTCTTGAGCAGGGCCAGCTTGTTGGGCCTGGACTTAAGCTCACGCACCCAACGAACGGCCTCCGGTCGTCCGGCCTCGACGCCCGCCTGATCTAGGGCGTTGCCCGAGCCTCCTCCTACTCCTCCTGCACCTGCATTGCTCTCGAGGCGCAGCAGTGTCGTCGATGTGGTGCTGTGTCCGCGCATATAGTAGGCTGGTGGTCCACCGCCTGTTGAAGACGTGGAACGGTCGCGAAAGCAGTTCATCAGAGTCTTCTCTCGGGGCTGTCTTCTCTCGTGGGCTACAAAGCCGGCGGCACCGATTATGATGTGCGCCGAGTCTGGTGTTCCAGGCGTCACTGGTACTGCCACAGCCACTAGCCCTGGCCTGCCATTGTTTCCCGTCGTCGTTGTCTGCATCGTCGTGTGCATCGTCGTCTTCGTTCCTCTCTCTCTCTCTCTCTCTCTCTCGCCACAGATCTCGAGTCTTTTATCGGGCTTCGCCTTCCCTGCAGCTGCAGCTGCACACGGTCGGTCGGTCGGGCTTATCGCAAGTGCCGCAGCTGACCAGCCCCAACTCCCCTGCCTGCTTGTCTGCCCCTGTTTTTGGCGTGGGTGCGGTGGCAAGTGACGTCAGAGACAGCCAGTCGTCTGTGTGGTGCGGCAAGGAAACGAAAGAGATGACGACGACGGCGACGATCGTGCGTATAATTAGTTTATGACTATTGACTGGAATGGAATGGCAGATAGTGCGCCGCGCATATCCGTCGCTGGACTGTTATATCCCTCTACTGAGAGTGCTCACTGTAGTCTGTAGACAGCCACCGCCGCCTTCCGCTACTCAAGTGCCAATATCCGTTGTTGGCAGCAGCAGCAGCAGCAGCAACCTTCGTTTTTGCCGATCTTCGGCACAGTTTTTGGTTGTCGTATAACGCTGACCGTCACGAATGGATGGATAATTCTCAGGCAGCTCCAATTTCCGACTGACAATTGGAATTCACTGGGAACACCACTCGCTCCCTCACTCTTATCGCCGCCAGTGCGCAATGTTCCCTTGCCTTGCCTTCCTCTTCCCACTTCCAGTTTCAGTTTCAGTTCCAGTTCCATGATAAGATAAAGACCCGCGCGAAGAGTCGAGAATCGAGGAGCTGGAGAGCCAAAACAAATGCTAAAATGTATACAAATGCGTATGAAAATAAAACTAGTGGCGATAATCAGCTGAAAGGGTTCCACTTTGAGCCAATCCACTCCACCCCTTCCGTTCCCTTCCCTGTGGCCTGCTTTGCTTTGTTCGTTTCGGTACCGTCGTAACAGCGCCAGGAACCAGCCAGGCGGGCCGCTTATCACACAATCAGTCCACATTTATCGCCTGCAATGGGGAGGGATCCAATTGTCTCTCTATGCAGCCATTGGATGTGTTTTCTAGCATCATTTTCGGATCGGGCGGCACTGTACGGCCATGTGACTTCATGTGGCCACTGAGTCCGGCGTACTGGGCAAAGCCCTTCGCGCAGATCTTGCAAATGTATCGCTTCTGGGGATTGTGGATCTCCTTGTGCTGGCGCAGGTACTTGCAGCTGGTGAAGGTCTTGTGGCAGATGTCGCACTCCTTGTCGCGCACATTCAGATGCCCCTTGATGTGGTCGTTCAGCACGGACTGCTCGAAGAAGCTCTTGCCGCAGATGCTGCACTTGCCGCGTGGCCGCTGCTCGTGCCGCCGCCGATGACGCTCGAAGAAGGACCGCGTGCTGAAGCGCTTCCCACAGATGTCACAGCAGAAGGGCCGCTCGCCGGTGTGCGAGCGCCGATGCACCTGCAGATCCGATGTGGTGGCAAACCGCTTGCCGCACTCCTCGCAGCCCAGCTGATAGTCGTGCGTATGCCGCCGCAGATGGATCGTGCAGTTGCCGCTACGCGAGAAGCCCCTGCCGCAGGTGGGGCACACGAACGGCAGGCTGCCGTCGTGCCCGGCCCGATGCACCTTGTAGACGTCCACACTGTTCAGCAGCTGCTCGCAGAGATCACACTGAAAGGGGGCCACGTGCGGCTCGAGGAAACGCAGCTGCTCGTAGTAGCGGCAACGGGGGGTAAAAACCACGCCGCCACCGCCACCGCCACCACCACTGCCCTTGCGCTCGCACTGGATGCGTCGCAGCTTCTCCTGCTGGTAGGCGTTGCGCAGATTGCGGGTGTAGCGCTGCAGCAGCGAGGGCTCCAGCTGGGGCATCTGCAGCTCGGCGCGGCACAGCGACAGCAGCTTCTCCTTGGCCGCGTCTCGTACGTGACGCAGGCGGCAGGACAGGTCCTGCATGTCCCAGGTGCCGCTGCACTGCTGATAGATCTCAATGAGCTTCAGGCACTGCTGATGGTTCAGATGGGGCACGGGCACGGATACGGACATCTTGGGGTGCCGCTTCCGGCGCAAACTCTTCGCCAGGAAGCCCAACCTCTCGTAGTACCAGTGTGGTGCCGTTGTCGTTGTCGATCCCTGGGCGATTGCCCGTTCCAGACGCTGCCTCTCCCGCCGGTAGACATTCTGCAGCCTCTTGGTGTGGCCGGCCACCTCCTCGCCCGTCAACTGCAGACCAAACTGCGAGTTCAGCCGCTCGGCGATCGTCGAGCAGGCTGCGCTGCGACGCTTGTAGTTGCGGTACGCCAGCATACCCAAGTCCCAGAGCAGGCTCTGCTCCTCCAGCTGCCCGATGAAGGCCAGCATTATGGGGTGCTCCTGCAGCCAGAAGTACGAGGTGTCCGTGCATGTTCCTGTGCCTGTTGGCTGCAACTGCAAACATTAGCGATTAGCATATGGAGCGGGTATAGTGCTAGGCTTGCCTCATTGTAGGACTCCTGGGAGGTGGTGCTCTGGCTATCGCTCTGGCTGGGCCAGTCCAACATTGTCTCTGGCTCAAAGCACTCTACAGAAGCATCATCTGCCTCTGAAAGAGGATCAGCAGCAGCAGCAGCATCGGACAGTGAAAGAGCATTATCAAAAGGCGGTTCTTGTTCTCTCGCATATTCCACAGATTCCCCTTTCACAATGGCCAAATCTTCCTCGACGGCCAGCTCCTTGCTGGCACCACTACGCAGCGTCGTGTCCGTGGCTGTCTGTGCAACCTTCTGATCTTCAAACAGATCCGCGTGCTTCGATTCCAGATGCGACTTGAAGTCTTTGAGTGTCCTGGTCTGCTCCTCGTCCCGGCAGTAGATGCACTGGAAGGCGAAAGCCTTCGTCTGCCACTTCCCCAGCCAGACAATCTCCCCGCAGCGCTGATAGGGCGACATGCTGATCCACAAATGAATTTTTCTGGTTGGGAGAATTTATTTGTTTACAATTTGCAGCCACCGGCTGAGCAGGGTTACCAGCCTGTGCCAAGCGGCCAGTGTTGCAAGTCGTCGTCCGGTCACTTCGCACATATTCAAAATGTAGAACTTCATTTTTATTAGCAATTATTACATAATTTCGGGGCAGAAGAATACAACAACTCTTGACTTAATTAATAGAAATAGAGTAAAACAGGGCGGCGTTAGCGTTACAAGGCCACGTTCTGGGCATATTGGGATAAATGCAATCTGATCGAGCTCATTGATATGTGTGTCGTGTCCTACTGTCAGTGATCCTAGGGCATCATGCGCAGGGCACCATCGATGCGGATGACTTCGCCGTTGAGCAGGGGATTCTCAAAGATGGCCTGCACCAGATGGGCATACTCGCTCGGCTCGCCCAGACGCTGGGGGAAGGGGATGCTCTTGGCCAGGAAGGTGCGCACCTTCTCGGGCAGGGCCGCCAGCATGGGTGTGTTGAACAGACCTGGGGCAATGGTGCAGATGCGAATGCCCTGGGTGCTGAGGTCACGGGCAATGGGCAGGGTCATGCCCACCACAGCCGCCTTGGAGGCCGCGTAGGCAGCCTGTCCGATCTGGCCGTCAAAGGCAGCCACAGAGGCAGTGTTCACGATGACGCCGCGTTGCCCGTCCTGATTAGGCTCGTTGGCGCCCATCAGTCCAGCGGACAGGCGAATCACATTGAAGGTGCCCACCGTGTTGATGTTGATCACGCGCTGGAAATCCTCCAGCCTGTGGGCCACATTCTTGTTAAAGTTGAAGGTCTTCACGGCCGTCGCAGTGCCGGCACAGTTGACGGTGAGATCCAGGCGGCCGAACTTATCCTTGGCGATCTGCAGGGCAGCACTCACATCCTTCTCCGAGGTGACATCGACGGGCACAAAGACCACCTTGTCGCCCAGCTCCTTGGCCACTTCGTTGCCCTTCGAGGAAGGCAAATCGGCGAGCACCACGCTGGCACCCTGCCTGGCCAGACGCTCGGCTGTAGCGCGACCCAGACCGGAGGCTCCACCGGTCACCAAAGAGACGGCGTTCTGCGGAGCGGACAGAGATTTGTTATTGTATAACACTCCGGAGAAACAAAACGAACATGCTAATCGTTCAGGGTACAAGGTGCACATATGTACACATGCAGCTATACAGTTATTCTATTTGCCGATGACACGGGTTCAAATCCCCATTGGACTTTGCACCCGGCAAATGTATTGTCCTCAAGCGATTGGGATTGGTTGGGGGCATCATAAATTACACACGAGCATACCTTGATCATTTTGATATTGTTTATTAGTTTATAACGTTGCACAAAACCAGCGACAAGGCGACAGAAGAACTGTGAAAGCAGACGAAGACACCGGTTGCTTCTTTATATAGATATCTGGGAATAGCAAATATTGTGGTCGTATGACACCAGAGTACCAAATATTGTGGTCGTATGACACCAGGCGTACCACCAGAGTTGATTGCATGGTATTTATTTGTTACAATCTCAAGCAAAATTTTTGTATGGCGCTATTTAGTATTTTTTACCCTTGACCCGGGCGAGCCCCCCCCCCGGGACACCAGGAGGTACTGTAACTTGGAGGGGCGGGGCCCCCCCCCCCCTTCCCTTTTTTGTACAGGTTTTTGTTACAATTCCATACAATTTGTTTTGAAAATCTGGTATATTAAGGAACATTTATAATTAATTTATTTTTATAATAATTAATACAGATATATTCAGATAATAAGGAACATTTATAATTAATTAATTATAATAATTTATAATAATCTATACACAGAAAGAATGCCTGGTGCCCATACGCCTGGACATGGAGCTTGAGAGACAGAAGCTGCGCGACACCTTCACCGAGCATGATCACGCCCGAGCAGTTTGCCGAAGTACTCTGCGATGATCTGGACCTGAATCCCCGCCCTTTGTGCCAGCACGGCCCCCGCGGGGCACGATCCCCCATTCTGGAGGAGAGCTGTGTCCAGCGTGTCATAGTCAAGCTCAACATACACGTGGGCAACACGTCGCTCGTCGATCAGGTCGAGTGGGACATGTCCGAGAAGAACAACAATCCGGAGGAGTTTGCCATCAAGCTCTGTGCCGAGCTGGGATTGGGTGGAGAGTTTGTGACGGCCATAGCATATAGTATACGTGGCCAGTTGTCGTGGCACTGTCGCACATACGCCTTCAGCGAGGCACCCCTGTCCACCATCGATGTGCCATTCCGGAATCCCAGCGACGCGGATGCGTGGGCCCCATTCCTAGAGACGCTAACCGATGCCGAGATGGAGAAGAAGATCCGAGATCAAGACAGGAATACGCGGCGTATGCGACGACTGGCCAACACCACAACCGGTTGGTGATTATCCTCGTCCACCATCCAAATCGAAATCCTCGACCATACCGCTCGCCATCCACTCCGATCTGAATGCTGTCCTTACCATTTTTGCCGTGAGATCACGCAGCCAAAGATACAAAAGCCAAGCCACTGCACCGCGGCCAAAACGAAGTACAACACAGCCACAACGAAATATCTAATTATTTGTATTCCATCCACCCACCGCGCCCGCGGATGTTTACTGTATGGGAAGCGCCTTATAGCGTAGCGCTGCCTTCTGATTGCGTTTCCGTTCGATCAACACAGAACGGAAGGAGGGCGGCGTCAGTGTAAACTGGGCATACACTTTGGTTTGGTTCCTCGCTCTTCTGTTTGGATTTAATTAGCCGCTAGATTGGAAGATTGCTTGATGAGATGAGGCGGGGTGGCTTATCGAACCCAAAGGGTAAACAAAAATGTGTGCTGGGAGCAGCTTCCGCTGCCATAGTCGGAGGGCGAGGCGAGGCCTCTTCGCTGGCCCTGTCGGTGGCATCAAGCTCAAAGCGCAAGCAACGTTCGCTGAGCGCGGTGTGGTACCAGCCCAAGATACAGATTCTCTAGCGGATTTCTCTAGATAAAAAGGGTAACTTTATTGCCTTCGCGATAACTAAAGCTATACAGAAAGTGTCGTGTGTGTTTTGTTTTTGTGTTGTGTGTGTGTGTGCAAGTGGAAGTGGAAGTGAATGAGATGCGAGTTTTCTTTTATGCTATATATTCTACATAAAATCAATATATATTCAAGTATATATAGGTATATATGTATGTGTTTGTATGTTTATTAATGTACAACCTGTCGGAGCCAAGAGAGAGAGAGAGGAAGAGTGTCCCACAGAGAACGCGTTAACTGTTTAGAAACATTGAAGCTGCAAGAGGACATCTCCTCGATCTTGCCCGATTGCCCGATGCATGGCCACCAGTTGGCACCAGCTCCAGGCCATCCCCCTGTCCTACAATTTGCCGTCCATCGCATTGGTGGAGGGGCCTAGGGGCGGCAGTATGCTCATGCGCTCCAGCTGATCGGCCAGAATGCGCTGCTCTTTGGTGAGGCGTAGAATCTCCTGTTTCTCCTCGACGGTGTGTCCCTTTCGCTTGGCCCGATACTGCAGCATTCGCTTGTAGCACTCGAGTATCTCCGTGTCAATCATGTCCAGCTTGCGCTTGAGCTCGATGCGCTTGATCTCGTCGCTGGCCGCCAGACGGAGGCGCTTCAGCTCCTCACTGTTGAACGTGGACACGGTGCTAATCTCTGCCGTGACGCGCTTGATCTCGTGCAGCACATCGTCCATGTCCTCGGGCGGCGCACAGTCGCTGGCATCCATCAGGCCGTTCTCCAGCAGCTCCTTCTTCAGGCGCTGCTCAATGCCCACGCCGTGCTTGAGCATGGAGAGGGGTCGGAAGTTGCCGCTGGCTGCAGGAGCTCCCGAATTGGCGGAGGATAGGTGCGAGTGCGAATGTGAATGAGAGTGCGAATGGGAGTTGTTGTCGTTGCTGCTGCTTGTGGTGCTGTTGCTGTGCTCCCCCACAGCCGCCTGCTCGCTGGGCAGCGTCAGCAGCGACTCCTCCATGAGGGCTGTGACAAGGCGCTGTGTGAGGGGACCCGTAATGCTCTCCTCCGCCATTCCTTCGGCCTTCTTCACCATGGCCGAGGCATTCTGCGACTTGACGCGCGATCCGCCCGGCTGCAAGGCCTTCATATCCTCCAGCGCCCACACGGTGGAGTAGTGCGGCCCCAGTGTGGGTACGGGCGGCACCAATGGGCCGCGATACTGCTCCAGGAGGTCATCGATCAGGCGGAGATCCTCATTTGTCACCGGCATGCAGTACGGCTCCACCGAGAGCCAGAACTTGTTCGGCATATCGTTCTTTGGCATCGCCAGCTTCGGCAGCTGTGGCAGCATGGGCAGTATCAGGTTCGACGACGGCAGGAAGTCCATGCTGTCGTCTGTGTGCACGGCCATTGGACTGTTCTTCGAGTGCCTCGATGAGCTCGACGGGCCGAGGCCGCCCTTCAGAATGGTCATCGATGAGTGCTTCTTGCGCACGCCTGTCGGCTCGTCCCGCTTTCGTTTGGCCATGCTCGATGAGGCGCCCGCTGGACTGCCCAAGCCACCGCTGGCTCCGCCAATGCCTATGCCCAGCATGGCGTTCAGCATGGCATTGTTGCTGGTGCACGGTGGAGATCCAGGAACGCGATCGAATTTGCGACGGTCGTTGCGCTTCTCATCCTTGTCCACACTGTCGTATTCGGCCTTGAGGACGCGCGCGCGTAGAGCCACATTCGAGAGCAGCTGCTCCAGCTCGAGTTGCACTGCATCCAGATCCTCCGCCGACAAATGGTCATCGCAAGGTCGCTGTAGGGCTGCCGTCATCGTGGGCAGCCTTTTTGGCATATCCCTGGTACGGATAAGTGGTATGATGACACCGCTGGGCGTGAGAAACACCTCCGACTCGGCCGCGGCTGCCGCAGATGCGCCTTTACCTCCTCCGCCGCCGCCATTTACGGGCATCTTACCAGCGACTCCACCAGATATTGCCATCCCAAAGGCACCGCCGATGCTTCCACTAGCACCTCCGCCTGTGCCACCGCCTATACCAGCACCGCCGCCACCGAAATGGCCCAGTTTCAGGTTCTTGAAGGTTGTACTCATGGTCTTGTGTCAGTGCAGTAGCAGAAACTGCCTTGTTTTGCCTTCCAAAATTTGTTGTTTTGTTTTTTTTTTGAAATTTCTGGCCGATTCGCAATTTGTTTGCAGAGCAGTGTGACCGCGGACTTATCGACAAAATATACTGTCTGACCCTCAAAAATATACCTTCTCAATTTCATAATATACCGTAAATAATATACCGAGGAAACTCATATTCCTCAATTTTGATATGCAATGCTGCACTTCTCCCTCCGCCGAAATAGTTAGTTATAATTGCCACCCAAAAGAAATACATGCAGCAGATAGATAGTACAAAGTTTCTGGATTCTTTGTTTTTGTTATTCCGTCGTACGGTCTGGTCGTCTGCTCCGTGCGTGGGTGTTCGGTTCGGTTGTGCGCGCTTCCCTGTGATAAGCAGTGTACTTAATAAATCAGCGACTGTTGACAATTAGTAATGATTGTGAGTGGATCAGGTGCTTGCTGAGAGAAAAAACTTCATTTAACAATCCATCTATATAGCTTTAACAATGTGCTGCTGCAACGAATTCTGTACAAAAGTCGGATAGCTCCTCCTCTACGATTGGCCATTGGCACTCTTTGCAGCGCTGCCCACTGCACTGTAACTGCAAGCTGCAGCATCAGGCAGCAGCGCAACAGCAGCAGCAGCAGCGTATATGTATGTACATATGTCATTTTATGTAATTGAAAGACTATTCCCCTCATTCTTTGGTTAATCTATGGCCTAAATGGCCTTCAATTGGTTTTCGGTTTTTCATCAATTGCTTTAAGAAACGTTGCGCTGGCGCTCTGACCCACTGTCACTCATCGTTTGAATGAATCGCGTATCAAGAACAACAACAACAACAGCAACAAAAATAAATACAAAAACAACATCATCATCATATTTCCAGATAATAAGGAGACAGTCTTCCAGACACGACTTTCGGACAATTCTGCTCAGTTAAAAGTTTTTGTGTGTGCTTTTTTTTCTTTTGTGTTTTGTTTTTATTGATCAAATATTTGCGTCGTACGTGTACGTGTGTTTGTTCGTGTGTGTCGATGTGTCTCGTTGGGTAGTGCGGAAGAGGTGGGGGGAGGGCTGTCGGGCTTTGGGGCTTTGTGTGTCAATTTTTGTTGCTTCTGCTGCCGCTGCCGCCGCCGCCGCCGCTACGGATGGCAGCCCACACATGTTTGATACGGCTAACTGTATAACTGTATCGTTATCAGTGGCAATTAAACACCCAGAGAAGGAAGAATCTGTACAAAAGGGAAGAGGGGTGCGGAGCGATAAGGGACGAAAACACTCTGTTATGCATTGTCCGGATAACTGTTTAAATCCCCGCCTTAAAAACGGCAAACTGAATGAGAATCGATGATCGATCAGCTGTTACTATTCAACGAGTACTCTAATCAATCAGCGTCGCAGGTCTATATTTAAACACTACCATTGACCATACCATTGACGTTAATTGACCAACAGACTGCTGTTGTGGGTGCGGGGGGACTGACCCTGCCATCAATTATCACCTCCAGTGTTAAGCCCACTCTTTGTTCGCTTCGCTTTGATTTCTCTCCGTTCCAGAGGAAGAAGAAGAACAAAAAATGAGAAGGGTAACGGCTCTGCGCTTTAAGGAAGTAAAACCAAAAACGGGACTCTATCCTCCCAATGGAAGGAGGGAGAATGGGAACGAGAACGGGCTCAAGCATTGCCTGGAAATATGGGAAATAAATAGGAAATAGGAAGTGTGAACAAAATGACTGGGATAAAAATAATTAAGTACAGAAACTTACTCTACCCTGCACTCCACCATGGGTAATTAAGAGAAGTAACTGTAGCGCTGGAATGAAGGGAAATGCGAATAGGGAGGGGATCTAGCTTCCACTGGAATAAAGGGATATTTTGTGGAGAAAGGAGGGAAGGCGGAGGCAATATTTATTCAATTTATAAAAAAAAAGTCGGCATCTTTCGTGCTTTTTCCTCTTTTTGTGTGTGCTGTTTGCCTTTGCGACGAAAATTTTCCAATTTACTTAGCTTATTATTCGGGCCACGTTAATGAGATACTACACAATTATTCTGTTAAGAGATTGGGAGGAAGGGGCTTATCATTCGCGGTGCACACAAGTACACTCGTCGAGAGGGGGAAGTCGTTGCTATCCAATTGTGGGGGCAATCGTCGGATTGAGGCGTTTGTAAACCAATTTGCAATCGCTTCTAGGCAAATACTTCTAGGCCTTACTTCGGATTAGATATATGTACATATGTATGTATGCATGTATGTATGTGTGCTTGATCATAGATAAACAAGCCCCACCCCCATTAGTATGGCCATCGGGGCGTTAAATTGGTTTTACACTTGAAAAGAGACGATGCCAAATGGCTACCACGGAACTCAGGGACAGTGAAAATAGCTTCAGTGGGTATGAAACTAGTTGAATTAGGAAGGGGAATGCACTGAGAAGGGAAAGATAATACTGCACATTACCCCGCCAATGCAAGAAACAGAGAATAGTTCCGCTACAACTCTCCCTTTCTGGTTAGCACTTGCAGACGCACTTCCAGTGAGGGAGAGGAGAGACAATCCTTGGAATCAAAGCTAGAGGCAAAGCCGAGCCGCCTTAACCATGAAGTTTGCCGAGCATCCTGTCGGCGCACATAACGCCCGAGTGGCGCAAGCAGTACATCAACTATGAGGTGAGTCTATTTTTTGATACATCCAGAGAGAGCGAGAGAGGGCAATGAAAGCATACCATTCTCTCTTGAAGGAAATGAAGGCCATGCTGTACTTGGCCGTCGAGGAGGCCCCTTCGGTGGAGAGTGTCGAGGATGATGTGCTGAAGCGTCACTTTGCCAACTTCGATGAGAATTTCTTTCACTACTGCGACAAGGAACTGAAGAAGATCAATACGTTCTATTCGGAAAAGCTGGCGGAGGCCACGCGCAAGTTTGCCAATCTGAATGCGGAGCTAAAGAGCTGCATCGAGGAGTCCGAGCGGAGTGCAAAAAAGTCAAAGGGACAGAAGCGTCTGGCCGCCCTGCCCGATCGCAAGGCGCGCGAACTGAAGTTGGCCTTCAGCGAGTTCTACCTGAGTCTCATTCTCCTGCAGAACTATCAGAATCTGAATCACACTGGGTTCCGTAAGATACTCAAAAAGCATGACAAGGTAAGACATGAGAGACGTCGCTCCTCTCTTCAGATTTACAACCTCTGCAGTGGCAGCTCTTGGCCCTCTGAGCCCTGACCTCAAATCTCTTATCTTTTCTTTTCTCTTTTTGCTGGGGCGCGCAGCTTTTGCGCGTTGACACCGGCGCCAAGTGGCGACAGGAGTACGTGGAGGCGTCGCATTTCTTTACCAACAAAGACATCGACAACATTATAAATGAGACGGAGACGACGGTAACCGGCGAACTGGAGGGCGGCGATCGCCAGCGGGCAATGAAACGGCTGCGCGTACCACCGCTGGGGGAGCAGCAGAGTCCGTGGACCACCTTTAAGGTGGGCCTCTTCTCCGGCAGCTTCATTGTGCTGGGCATTGTGGTGGTGCTGTCGGCCATCTTCCATGAGATCAGCGGGGAGAACCTGAAGGTCACATTCCGCCTCTATCGCGGCCCCCTGCTGATCATCGAGTTTATCTTCCTGATTGGCGTGAATATCTACGGCTGGCGTTCGTCCGGCGTTAATCATGTGCTCATTTTTGAACTGGATCCGCGCAATCATCTCTCCGAGCAGCATCTCATGGAACTGGCCGCCATCTTCGGTGTGGTATGGACGCTCAGCATGCTGAGCTTCCTGTACAGCGCCAGCCTGTCCATTCCGGCGTTCATTAACCCCCTGACGCTCACGCTAATCATGGTGCTCTTCCTGGCCAATCCGTTTCATGTGCTGCATCACGATGCCCGCTTCTGGCTGTGGCGGATCACCGGACGGTGCATATCGGCGCCATTCTTTCACGTGGGCTTCGCCGATTTCTGGCTGGGCGATCAGCTCAACTCTCTGGCCACCGCCATACTGGACTTTGAGTATCTCATCTGCTTCTACTTTACCAACGGCAACTGGTCGGAGGCGAATGATGCCTCCATTTGCATGGAGAAGGACTACATCATCCGGCCGATTGTCAACTGTCTGCCGGCGTGGTTCCGATTCGCCCAATGCCTGCGACGGTACCGGGACTCGCGTGAGGCCTTTCCCCATCTGGTAAATGCCGGCAAATACTCGACCACGTTCCTCGTCGTGATCTTTGCCACCCTCAAGTCGTTCCACAGTCGTGAGTGCACCAGCTGCTAATCTGCAGATGATTCTCTTATTGATTTCTGATCTATTTCCGCCTTTGTTTAGAGAACTATGCCAGCACGTTTGACAATCCGTATACGTGGCTCTGGATAATCGCCTCGATAGTGTCCTCCTGCTATGCGTACACGTGGGATATCAAGATGGATTGGGGCCTGTTCGATAAGAATGCCGGCGAGAATACATTTCTGCGGGAAGAGGTGGTCTACTCATCGACGGTGAGTACTTTGTGCGCCTGTCCCTTACCCTTACCCCCTCTCTTTAATCGTTTATTTTGGTTTGTTTTTTTGGGGCAGGGCTTCTACTATTTTGCAATTGTTGAGGATCTGGCACTGCGCTTCATTTGGGTGCTTTCCTTCTATCTGACGGAGATGAAGATTGTTAGCGGTGACATCATGACCTCCATTACGGGCATCCTTGAGGTCTTCCGGTATGCTGAGAATGTACCCAGAGTGGAGTGTGGCAACCCCTTAACCCCCCTTGGTTTTCATTTGCAGTCGCTTTGTGTGGAACTTCTTTCGATTGGAGAACGAGCATCTGAACAATTGCGGCAAGTTCCGAGCGGTGCGTGACATTTCGATTGCGCCGCTCGACTCCTCCGATCAAGCGCTCATCCTACGCATGATGGACGAGTCGGATGGTGTGATCAATCGCTACACAAAGACGAACCGACCCAAGCCGAAAAAGATCAAGGATCCGGAGAAGCGCAGCCTGTTGCAGCCGCGCGGCTCAATGCCCGATCTTCGGATAGATATCGATAGCAAAAAGTTATAGGCAGACCTACGCCAACGGCTCGACCAAATTGTGCTGCCCATGGAACGATTATTGAGAATGTGGTGCAACGATTCGGCCCTAACGATAATTCTAATACTATTATCGACCTTTTTTTTGTTCATCTTTTTTTTGTGCCCATTGTTTAGCTAATTTGTACTATATCTATATCATATTTAACTTACTAGTTACGTTAAGTGTACTTAAACGCAAAGGAAACGGAAACGGAAAGGCAAACGAAACTGTAACTGAAACTGAAACTTAAGACAGAGCGAGAGAGAGAGAGTGAGTGAGAGAGAGAGAGAGAGAGAGAGAGATGTCCAGCAATAACTAGCTTATAAGAATATCCAACTAATTTAGCATTCCATTTATCCGTTTTGAAAACTAACGAAGAAACCTCTTATATATAACCCCTTCCTACTATCCATTCCCAAATTTCACAATTTCAAGCCCAATCATTTTTGGGAGTACTTTTGGTCTCCCGGAGAAGCGACAGATGCGGCAGTATTAGTACTTAGAAAAGGCGAACAAAATTGTATAAACCCAATCCAATCCAATCTAATTCAATCCGATTTCCACACACCCCAGACATTCCTTTATCTATTACGATATATATTACGATATATCGTTTACCGTTTATCGTTAGTTAATTTAGTTATCTGTTAAACCGTTATCTGTTATCTGGTCCTATCCCCACAAAAAAAAAACAAAAGAAAAGTCTTTCGATTGATATACAAAACCAAAAGGAATATTGTGTATATATATATACCAAATATATATATGTACATATATCGCGTATATTGGTAGAGAGCTTGTGTGTGTATGTTGTTTTTGGATGATTCTGTATGAGGTGGACTGATGGATCTAGTGGTCGTTCGCAAAGGTTAGGTTTATTATTGTTTAATATGTAATTCGCAACCAGAAAAAAAAAACACAACAAAAGACAGACTTGAAAGCGTGCAACGTTTTGTATTTGTACTTATACATACATATATCTGATATCTCAGACTATTCTATATGCTAAACTAAATGTAAAATGAAGAGATTTTCTCTATCTTTTTTTTTTGTTGTTGTTTGTTGCCATAATTTGCTCGCATTTTGAGCCCCACACATTTTTGTATCGTAGCTGTAAACATGTAGAATCGAACAAAAAAAAAAAAACTAAAAAAAATCGAACCAAAAAGGATATATCTAAATGTGCTAGAGATGTGGTATATAGCCAGCCTCCTACCCCAGAAAAAAAAACCCTAGATCTTAATCTTAAGAACATTTATTTGTATATAATAACAGTACACACACACACATACACACGCACACGACAAAACAGCATGAGAGAGAGCATGAGAACAGAGTAACAAAATAAACGAAATGCCGTAAGGAAAATATGCAGAAAATAAACAGAGAAAATATCAGTACATTACGAGACAACTCAGAGATAACTCCCTATACTGCTCCGTTTTTTTTTTGTTTTTTAGGACACATTCTCAACGACACCCGAAACGAGAGCTGTGCCACGCATCACCCAAAATTCGGGATCATTTTGGCTAAACAGCAGGACGGACAAGACGAAATTCGTGGAATGGCCGGTGGTGGAGAGGACGCCGGATCGCTGCTGGGTCTTGTAGAGTGGCGCCTCGTAACGCACCTGCGGTGAAATCTCCAGGCAGGGCATGAACCGAACGATGGGCAGGCGCGTGTACAGCTCACCGAATTTGGCATCGCAGAGGCCGCCCCGGCTGAGGTCCCAGCGGGCCGCTTCGATGAATATGCCATGGACATTGATGACGGCATCGGTGCACTCCAGCAGATTGCCATACAAACGTTCGTCCTGCATGGGGTGGGGCAGTGCCCAGAGTATATTACATAAAGATATCGAGGGGAATGGCCAGCCGTCACTTACACTTTTACCCGCATTGTGGGCCTCAAAGAAATCCTGCTGCACCAGCTCCCGCTCGACAATGTCAAAGTCGATCTTCAGCGAATCGATGGGCAGCACGCGACGGCGCGCGTACGTCTGCAGCACGCCCGTGAGGAAGGACTGCGGAAAGAAGAAGCCACTGATCCAGTAGGAGCGCGGCGCCCCATTCTCCGCCCAGTGCTGAATGAAGTCGATGCGTCGCTGAAAGTCCGTTATGTAGTTGGGCAGCGGCTTAATGGAGAGGAAACTCCGCTTGGCCCAGGAAGCGGGCACCAGATTGGCCAGCAGCGCCTTGAATACATTCTCCAGCTCCTCGGACATCACCACCAGACCCTTGATGGCCTTGGCCAGATTCGTCAGGCTGTCGTGTATGATGCCCAGCGCAATGTTGAAGCGATCGATCTCCTGCACCAGCACCGTTGTCAGCGACGGCACCTGTCCCTTGCTGTCCAGCTGTGAAAGGTAAATAGGGTAAAGCGGAGGTACGAGGGTAAACGGCACAACCTACCGTCGAGAGGGTGTCATGGAGGGGCTCACGCTTGATCTTGTTGACCAGCGCCTCCTGGATGCGGGCAATAATCTGCTGACAGATGTCATTCTCCGCCGCCTGACCCTCGTCGGCGGCTGATCGTGGCTGGCCCAGCAGCAGGGTGCTGATAAAGAATTCCGTTTCCTTGGTCTGAAACACAATATTGGCGTTCTGATTCATGCCAAATATCTCCGGATCCTCGAGCACCGGAAAGCCCTGCACAAAGGTCGAGTACTCGGCGAGCGTCTTCTTGCGCGGATCCCTATAGTAGGCATCGCCCCGACAATACTTATACTCCGGCTGTATGATCCGCTTCGACGAGAAGATCATCAGCACCGTGCGCAGGCAACGCAGATCCCAGTAGTCGGTGACGCGACCGCCCCAGGTGATCTCACCGTTAATATAGAGTATCGCCTCCCAGGGTATATCGTCCATTACCTCGCGATCGATAAAGAAATCGAGCGTCTTGAGGCCGCACTCGCGATCGCTCTCATTGAACTCGTACATGATGTTCCAGCCAAGGGGACCGAATTTGCGACGCTCCAGCAGCACCGCATGGAACATGCACAGCCCAAAGACAATGGCCCGCCAGTTGCCGTTCTGGATGTGATGCTCGAAGAAGTCCCGCTTGAGATCCGCCAGGGCGCCAATCACATTCGCCTTGATACCCTTGGGCGGCTCATTGGTGATCTTCACCGAATTCTGCAGCACACTGATTGGGAACTCCCTGATGGGCATCGATGAGAGGAAGAGCCGAAATTCGGGATGCGACTTGGTAATGCCCAGCGACAGATTGCGCACAATTGTCTCTAGGGTGCGCATCCATGAGGTGGCCAAATGGCAATTCTGCAGAAAGACCCAGTGTCCCAGCCGCAGGCTCTTGTCAATCAGATTCTCGGCCACCGGTCCCTGGCCCTGGCCCAGCGATATCGAATAGTACTTTTCCGTATATTGCATTTGGGTGGTGAACTTCAGGAAGCCCGACATCGGATCGGAGCCCGTTGACAGCACAAAGATCAGAGGCGTCACCTCGGAGGTGTCCAGGAAGCTGCCAAGAAAACAAACAAACAAACATTAAAAGGGTAACCATCAATGGGGAGAATCCTACAGGTGTGGTGTCCCTTACACGGTGCTCAATTGTGTGCCCGTGGCAGAGACCTCGGTGAAGTAGCGGCCAACGGTGCCATGCAGATAGCTGACAACATTCAGCAGGAAGCGCGGCTTGCGGAAGATAGCGATGAACATGAGCTTGTGAAAGATGCGCAGCCGCTTGTTCCACTTGTCCGTGGGCGGCTGCTTGGTGCGGGCAAAGTCAAAGATCTCGCTGTTGTCCTGCAGCTGCAGGAAGAACGGCCTGTCTATCTCGCTGCTGAAGCCCGCGAATGTGTCCGGAAAGTTGTCCTCCAAGTAGATGCACGCATCCCACTCCATTTGGCTGAGCTTTGTGCTGGATGGCTGCTGCTTGGGACGTATATTGCCGACGGCGCCGCGTGTTAGGAAACTGAACTCCTCGTCGGAGACGCGCTTCTCCTGCCGCTCCACGGACAGGGCCAGCAGGAAGCTAAAGATGATCTTGTGATTTTCAAACAGGCCACGCGATATGTTGTCATAGATGGCCTTCAGTTCGTCCACCATCAAGGCGGAGATGCGCACCTCGACGGCCTGCACGGGATGCTCCTGGCGCAGGACATTGCAGAAGACCTGCGTAAAGTACTTGAGGCTGTACTGATACATGGGATCGATCTCGGCCAGTCCAGCCACCACAAAGTACAGGATGGCACCGCGCGACGCCAAAATCCTATACCGTTCACGCGATGCGGTGATAATCTTCTCCGTTTCCTCGGTGTCGATGAGGCGAGCGGCAATGATGAGCGACGTTTCCTTAAAAAACGAGAAGGAACGTGTGAGTCGTTTCTGGGGACACGACTCTACTTATACCCGTACTCAGTCAGTATATACATTATTGAACTTATAATTTTTTAGAATTTTAAAAAAAAAAAAATTTTACATTTTACATTTTTTTGCTACATCTTATCTACATCTCATCTACAATGTCTATTCTACATCTAACATGTAATTGTACATGTTCCATTCATATTTATCTCCTCGCTAGGGTTCCACGAACGCGGCAGCGTGGGAGGAGAAGGAAAATGAGTTGCGTTGTTGTTTGATGGAGGGGGACAGGGGAAGCAACTGAAAATTAATTTCTTCATTTGGCTATAATTATGATCCGATCTGATTCAGATTGGCAGTTGGTAGATATGGTCATCTCTACGATACTCGTTTTATTTTATCGTACCTTTAAAAATGTGCCTGCCACAGATTTTCGTTCTTTGTGTGGGCGGAAGGGGGCGGGGCGAATTTTGAAATACACTTGTAGCAGTGGATATACATAAGTTGGAAACCAAATTTGGTTGCCTTAGCTCTTATAGTCTCTGAGATCTAGGCACTCAACAAGACGGACGGACGGACAGACTATCGGCTATTGATGCTGATCAAGAATATATATACTTTATGGGGTCGGAAACGTTTCCTTCTCTGCGTTGCACACATCCACTTTTACCACAAATCTAATATACCCCTTAACTCTTTTTTGAGTACGGGTATAAAAAGGTTGAATGACCTAAGGAGTCACAGATCAGGGATTAGCACACACACCTTGGCATCGTTAAGGGTCTCCACCAGCTCCTCGTCATCGAGTATGTTGCCCTCGGAGTTGAACAGCAGCTTCAGCACCTTGTCCTCGAGGCTCAACAGCTGCTGCTTGTCGGCATTGATCTTCACCACCAGATCGTTGCGTTGCGCCTCCATGGCAGGTAGCTCAATGGCCACAATGTCGCTGCAACACACAGAGAGAGAGAGAGAGAGAGAAAGAGCGTGAGAGGTTAGAGGGATGCCACATAGAGGGAGTGGAGTGGATACTCACGCTAGTAGCTGATCCTCGAGGCCACTTTCGGTCACTAGGAAATTGACCAGCGTCACATTGATGCACACCTCCGGCAGGTAGTGGGGATTGGGCAGCTTTGTGGTCATATACAGCTTAAAGTTCTCATCGTAGTCAATGACCTGATCGCCCAGCTTGAGATATATGCGACCCTCGTACTTGTATGTCTCGCGTTGCAGGATGGGCCGCAGTGCCGGATCGATTGTTTCGTCGATCTCCTCGAGCAGCACCGGATAGCCCTGCCGTACGCTATTCTCCAGGATGCGCATCATGCTCGCATCGGTCATTTTCACCACCTGCAGATTGTTCTCCTTCTCCATGTTGCGTATCCAGCGATTGGCCTGCTCCTGGGGATCGATCATCAAGGCCCAGCGCAGGGCGCGCGTCGCATAGATGCCATTCTCGATGGAGATGTTGTCCTTGGGCAGACCGTCCACATTCCACTGACGCATCTCGTACGCATCGCCCAGCACCTTCAGCAGATTGAACTCCCCGCTGGAGGGTATCTTATTCTCGCGACACTTGCTCACCCACAGGGCGCCCATGTCGCGCCGATACAGGTGCGAGAAGGCACCCATATAGGCCACACAAGCGGCTGCCACGAGAACATCGCCCGGCACACAGGCCAGATCGGCGGTCAGCGATTTGACCGTCTCACGCCAGCGCACCTGCTCGTCGGACAGGGCGGAGGTGAGGCGGCCGGCGCGATTGATGCGGCCATAGGTGAGATCGACATTGTCCTGAATCACCTGAAATTCGCGCTGCTTCTCGTCGAGGCTGTCGCGCAGCGTCTGAATTTTCGCCTCGACGGCGGCCAGCTCCTTTTGCTTCTGCCGCAGCACGACCATCACCTCCTTGAGCTCCGCCTCGGCGGCCTCCTTGCGCTTGATTTTCGGCTCCACCACCTTGTACACTTTCGAGAACTTGTCCATGGCAATCACCCACATGCTCACCGATTTGGCCACCTTCGAGACCTTTTCGAATTTCTATAAAAAAAAAATAATAATTAATGAGCTGAGGGATCAGCCACTGGAGTCCACTGCCACACAAATCGTGTACTCTTTTACCCGTACTCACATATATACTGACTGAGTACGGGTATAGAAAGTAGAGTCGCGGCCACTGCCGCGACTCACAACGTTCCCTTGTGTTTCAGTATTTATATTGTGTGTTTGGATGGGATCAGAGAAACAAGTAAAGGCCACTTACGGCTGGGGTAAAATCCTTGTGATCGATGTACTTCTTGACCTTCTTCAGCACATCGTCCTTCATGTGCTCCTTGTCGTACTCGAACAGCCGCTTGATGAAGTTTATGTCCGCCATAATAGCCTTAGCTGAAGCCCAAGTGGGTCTGCAAGTGTCGGTAAGAAAAGAGTCCATAGAATACCAACTCACCCCCCCGCACCTCTCTCTTGCTGTGTCTCTGTGATACTCACTTGGCGCCCAGTAGAATGCAAACGGCCTCCATGCAGAACTGCACCAGCGCTGGGGGCGTTGTGAATGATTTTAGCTCATTGATGTCCGCCTTGGTGAGGCCCTTCAAGGCATCCTCGGCCTCGCGCAGCGCCGGCATTGCAATCTCTAGATCCTTGCCAGCATCCTCGGATATGGCCTGAGCCACGGCCGCCTTCTCTTTGGCATTGGCCTCGTCCTCCATGACGCCCTGCTTGACGGTGTCCGCCTGCTTCGTTTCCGTTGTGAGATTCGCCAGCAGCGACTTCATCAGCGCCGATTTCTCATCCAGCTGGGGCACCATCACCTCCAGTTCCTTTTGCATCACAGCAATCTGTGGAGGTGGGATGTGAGATATGTGAAGTGGGTTCTCTTCTGCGAGGTTTGAGGTTACCAGAGCTTACCACTTCGTTGGTCTCCAGCAGCTTGTTGAGGCCATTGGCAATGCGCTTGCGCTTGGCAATGATCTCCTGGTTCTTGGCCTTCAGCAGATTCTGATAGAGCTTCAGCAGCTCCAGGTAGCTGCTGGGCGTGGTGTAATAGTGGCGCTTCATCTCCTTGTAGAAACGCACCGATGCATCCTCCACAGTCTGCGCCAGTAGGAAAAACGGAAACCGAAAACAGATTAGGGATCAGTGTATCTCTGTAGCCCCCCCTACCTTATGCATAAACACTGTGACGCTGGCCAGCGCGACGCGATCTTCCATTTTGGGTGCAATCTTGGTGAGCAGTCCAAGGGCCACCGAATAGAGGGCCTCCGTGGGCCAGCTGGTGAACCAATCGATTGTCGTGCAGTTGACCAGCGAGGGGAACATGCGGCAACGGCGACGAAAGGCATCGCCCACGGGACTCATTGACATCACCACATGCAGATTGTTGCGCACTCGATTGATAAAGAACTTGTAGATGCTGTCACGATTGCAGGGCTAACCAGAGTACATATAACCAGAGGGTTAAACCAACCAAAGTCGACTGGGAATGGGAAATCGCTTTACTCACTTCATTCTTTTGTTGCTCGTTGCAGGCGTCGCGGGCATCCAGTATGATCTTCTCGAATTCATCGCTTTCAAAGAGATTGGGCACCTCGCCCGAGTTGAGGATGTTGTTGATGTCCTCCAGGAACTCCTCCTCGACAATCTGGCTGTCGATCATCAGGAAGGTCACCGGATGGTTATCAATCTGTGTGTGCAGATCCAAGGAATATAGCCAAAAAAGCACACCAGCAGAGTATTGAGGGAGGCGCGATACTTACCCCTGCGATGCGGTAAAGGACACGCAAATCCTCGTGGAACGCATTCAGATCGTAATTGCGCCGCATCTCGATCTGCCAGCAATTGTACTCATTGACATGGGAGGCCAGGCGTGTAAGCGACTGTTTGCCCATGCCGGCGACGCCCACCAGTAGGCCATTGCCACGATCGCTGCGCAGCAGGCGGGCCAGCCGGACCGTATGCTCCATGGCGTCCTGGAAGAGTATCAGCTTCATGCGCTTGCCCACGGCCATTGAGTTGTAGTCGACGATGTAGTCATTGAGGACGCTCTCCAGCTTGGCATGATCCTTGATCTCGTCGTAGATGCGTTCGTTTTTCGGCTTGCCAAATATCATAAAGTCACCGAACAGAATCGCCGGCTCGTCATCGCCGACAACGTCGCGCTTAAAGTGCAGCTGGCAGACGCTCTTCATGAGGCTCTTGAACAGATCCTTGTCCTCCTGATTGATCAGGCGATCGTGAAAGACGCGCGTCGTCTCATGGTAGAACAGACGCAGTATCTGATTCTCCTGATTGTAGTGCAGATTGGTCGCCTGCAGTATGCCCTGAATGCACTTGGACAGATCTCGCAAATTGAATATATAATGAGAGCGATCGGGCGTCGGCAGCATCACATTGGCCACCCGCATATAGACATCCACGCAGGCATTCACCATCGGCTCGGAGAGGGAGCGTATCGCACCCGAAAATGAGCCCAAAAAGCCTAACAGAATGCCATTAAAGATCTGCGTGAGGGTCTCCTCATTGGGCTTGGGCAGCGAGAACAATGCAAAGTGTCGCACAAAGCGCGGTGTTAGCGGATTGCGACCGCCACCAGGCGGTGCACAGGCACAGCCCAGCACCACATCGAGCACCTCCTTCCAGAAGAGCTTCTCCCGGTCGTAGAAGCCCTTGAAGTCGAGAAACTGACGCAACAGCTCAATGGCCGCCTGGCTGCCGTACGTGTCCAGCTTGGGCATATTCACATCGTCTATAAATATGATCACCGTCTTGCCCACTGGCGCACCCAATTGGGTGCGCTTTCGCTTCTCCAGCGGCCCCTCGATCATCTCCTGGGTGCGTATGCTGCTCGTCTGTGCCGAAAAGTTGAGGATTACTGGTATGACCTTGCCCTCGGACAGACGCTTCATGCAACTGATGGCCAGCACCGTTTTGCCCACGCCCGTCTCACCCGTAAACATGACGGGTATATTGCGCTTGAACAGAAGATCAGCAACATAGCTAGGGATTTGAATAGAGGGAAATTAGCTCTAAGGAGAGACCAAAAATGGTGGCTTGCCTCACCCGTATTTGGTGGTATCCACTGTGGGCACCTGCATGTCATAGTAGGAGATCTCCGAGCTGAACTTGAACTTGGGCATTATGTCCAGCCATTTGCCCCATTCGCGTGTCTCCAGATCCACGCGATAGTTCCACATTGTATGCTTTGGCAGGCTACGAAAGACATTAGGATAAGGCTTTCACCTTTTTGCCTTTTTGTGTGTTCTGCTTACTCCATATTCGGATGCTGGGCAACGATGCGGCTCCACTGCTCCTCGTAGGCAACTTTTTCGGCATCCTTCAGATTGGAGGCAATCGACCAGAGTACGCTCCATGAGAAGATCTTTGTGATGAGCTCCTTGGCCTGTTCGTCTGTCAATGGCGACCACTTGACGGCCTCCAGCTGCGATGAGGTGAGGGCACAGCACAGACGCACCTTGGCATTGGTCACCTGATGGATGGTGTACACCGCACGCTTACGCTCGATCTTCAATGCCTTCTCAAAGTAGCCCGTGAACAGTTGATACAGGAATTCGGTGAGTGCGGGTGACAGCTTCTGGCGCATCTCCACCTCACGCCAGGTATCGATCAGCGGCAGCCAGCCAAGATCGGTGGGATCCACGTAGACCATGCCGCACCGTGAGACAGTGGCGGGTGAGGCCTGCAGCAGATCCTGCACCTCGAACAGCATGTGTATCCAGGCGGTGAGCTTGATGCGTTCCGAATTCGCCAGACACAGCATCTTGTTGTCGTCCAGCACGGTGTTCAAGTTCTCAATCCAAACAGCATCCACTGGGCCATCGCACATGATCCACTGATGGATCTCATCTGTATGGAAAGAACAACAAAAAAATATAGTCCAATATGGTTAGCTAAAAAGGATCTCTATATATGGATCGGCCGGTGGGACAGCTACGCTTACCCTCCACATTGGTGGCTGTGCGCACGGCCAGACCAAGGAGACCGTCCTGCCATTCCAGCGTCTTGGGATCCACATAGCCGTACAGCTCGTTCATGGACACCGCCTTGGGGTTCATTGTCTGTATGACAACGGGCCGAAAGTTCGGATCCTGCACCTCAATCTCAAAGAGATGGGCCAGCGCAAACTCGAGGGCATGCAGCACCACGGACTTGCCGCCGCCCGTTGGACCCACCAGCATAACGCCCCACCGCACACACATCGTCTCGTACAGCTGCAGGCACTTGCGTATGGTGGTGGCCACCGGCTGCAGGTTCTTCTGGCGCAGTCCCAGCAGCAGACTGGCCTCCAGATTCGGATGCTGTGAGTCCGGGCAGTTCCACGCCCGGAAACAGATCGCTGAGGATGCCACGGAAGAGCACAGCATCGTCGGCCAAGAACTTGGGTATATTGGAGTCGCGCAGTGCGGCAATCAGTGTGATATCCTCACGCTGATCGGGCGAGGCACGCTTCAGGGCACCGGCCATGACCAGCACCGACTTGACGGCTCGCATGCCGAAGTCGTAGTGATTCTGTTGGCTGAGCTGCTGGCTGCACAGCTGGTACATCTGCACCATCTTGCGGGCGAGGATTTTGGGATCCTCGAAGCCCTCCGAGTATAGGATCACCTCGGAGATCAAAGCATAGTCGGGCACCATCATTGAGATGGGCCGGAACAGGGCCTTCAGATTGTCGGGCAGCTCTGTGCGGCCCGCATAGCCCGGATTCATTGTAATGAAGACGCAGCATGAGCGATTAATCTTGATCTCGCGACCCTCAAAGACGAATCTGCGCAAATGCAAGGCAAGGCAAGCAATCAATCAATCAATCAATCGAAAATGATCATCCAGATCAGTTCAAATCTCTTACCGCTTTGCCCTCATGGCCTTGGCCGTTCGTATGGTGATCAACTGCTGGGCAATCACGGACAGCACCTCGATATCGATGCGATTGAACTCGTCGAAGCAGCACCAGGCACCGCACTGGGCCAGACCCGAAAAGAAGCGGCCCATCATCTTGTAGTCGAGGCCATCGGAGCAGTTAAAGACGACACACTGCTTGGCCAGGGCCTTGGCCAGATCCTTGGTCGTCTCGGTTTTGCCGGTGCCCGCCGGCCCAGCAGGCGCTCCACCCAAATCCATTTGAAAGGCGCCCATCAGACACAGGTAGCAGCGATCTGTGAGCGGGGTGAGCACCAGGACACCGCCAGCGCCCAGATATTCATAGTAGTAGGGAATATTGGCGGCCGCCATACGGGAGTACACGGTCTCCGTTTCATCCGCCCAATAGAATCGCAACATTTTCAGCCAATTGAAGTCGTTGCTGGTGCAGGAAGAAAACCAAATGGAACATCGGACAGAGTAACGGACAGGATTGATTCGTTGAAACTTACGGCTTGCAGACCTCCTTCTCGATAGCATGCGCACCGAGTCCTTGGCATGGACATCGATGGTGATCAGCGCACAAAGGATCTTGCGCAGCAGCGAAGTGATGCTGCGCCGTGTGAGGGCCGCCAGTGCGCCCAGATCCTTGAGGCATTTCACCTCAAATTTGCCCATCTTTTCCATTATGTTCGCTGGGTTCTTCTCCTTGTTGTCGAATATGCGATGAATGTCGGCGGCCCACTGCACCTGGGAGACGGTGAGCACCACCTGATTGGGATGATCCTGGAACCACTCCTCGCGCTCCTTGGCCAGATAGCACTGATAGCCGAAGCGCATGTAGCGCTTCACGGAGACAAACATCGCCTCCTCCACCTTGCTGAGCCACTCCTCGACGGCGCCGCGCGCCTTCAGTCCTTTGCCAAACTGCAGCTTCTCGCCCTCCGGCGATAGATAGGCGATAATGTCATTGGTGGCCACCACCTTGTCATCGCCACTGTCCTTGGAGCCGAACTCCAGACGGTAGATGGCATCGAAGCACTTGCGCAAATGCGGCTGCACGGCCTGTGGTATGCGCGTCTGGGCCAGAATCTCCAGAAGTTCATCGTTCGACAGGAAGTAGAATCTATGCATAGATGGGTAGACTATGTAATGGAGAATAGCTGATGCGATTCAATGGGAGCCGCCCTACCTGGGAAATACCACACGCTTCACCTCCAGATAGGCCTCCAGGCCGCGTGAGATTAGATCGAGCAATCGATTGTTCTCCACAAGGGCATCGTACACCTCCACACTGGACATTGTGGGCAGGGCCAGTGCCACTTTCTTGGCCTGGCGGACAATCTCCTTGAAGCATTTGTCCACCTGAAAGAACATTTTGGCCTCGTTGGGCAGCTGGCGCTGTATATCCGCCGATGCGAATATGGCCTCCAAATATATCCATGCACCCTGACAGTCCATCCAGGCCTCTACAGAAGAGACACACAGAGACGAGAGAGAGAGGGAGAGCATTAGCATTAGGGGAGCAAGAAGGCGGCCTCCTGCCTCACCGAAAGTCTTGCCAAATTGATCCATATCGGTGATCCACTCATCCACCTTGCCCTTGATGGGACCCACAAATTTGGAGGCGGCTATCGTATTGATATTCACATTGGCATCATCGAGCACCGCCTGCAGCTCCTCGGTGCCGGCCAGTATGAAGACATCCTTCTGATCGTGATGCGAGACAATGGCCAGTTCGGTCTCCTTCCAGATCGTTTCGATGGCTTTCAGCATATTCTCGAGCTGCATTTCGCCGGTGGCTTGTGATGAGATCTGCATGAGGGACTCGCCAATGGCCTCGTCATCGAAGGCATGCACCTCCTCGTAGGTGGCCAGCACGATGTCCTTCTCCTGAAAGAATTTATGGCTCAACAGCTCTTCGATCTCTGACCAGTGGCGCTATGTGACAGACGAAATAGGATTAGTTTGTGCATTTATTTGATGGGCACTGGGCACTCGGCTCACTCACAGCTCGAAGATTGGGATTGCGCAGATATCCAATGACGGGCAGCTTCTCCTTGAACTCCTCGGCCGATTTCTGCAGCACTGGCACAATGTTATTCTCTGGCAGATACTTCTGGAACTGCAGACAGTTTTTGATCGTCTTCGAATTAAGTTCGAGCATATCGGCGACAATCAAAGTGTTGAAATCGGCCGCCTGCCAGTCGGTGAGTGCCTGCTCCCAGTCGATCATCGTCTTGTAGAGATTCTGGCGCATGCGTATGTCGTAGAAGGCCTGGTCCATCTCCTCGTACATGGTTAGATCGATGCGGAATTCCTTCTGGTAGCCCAGGAACTCCTCGGCACGCTCCTTGCAACCACTCAGCTGATCCATCAGCGCGTCCAGCTTGTTTGTAACCGAAATCCGTTCGGATTTGGCCTACAGAGTGTGGGCATAGGCATAATATAGGGTTAGTCGCTGTTACGCATATCCATCGCCCATGATGGGTGTGTTCACTCACATTCAAGAGCCATGGCTCGAGGGCCTCCACAGCGATCACGTGTATCTCCTCTTTGAGCGTAAATATGTCATCCATCATGGCCTCCTCGAGGCGATTGATGAACTCCTGCCGCTTCTCCTGGATCTCGAGCAGCGTGTCCTTGGTGCGATTCACATAGTCCTCGGTGTCCATGTAGTCCTCTTTGCGATCGTCATCGATCGGTATGGCAAAGTCCTTGATAATCAGCAGCAGATCGTGCACATAGTCGATACCCTCGAATATGATATCGAGCTCCGCGCTGCATGTGTCCAGGAATCGTATGTGATTCACAATATCGAGCGTCTCCTGCGGCTCGAAGCAGATGCGGCCAAAGAAATCCTGCGCCTCCTCGTACAGTCGCGTCGTCTCCTCCTCGGCCAGCTTGGGCAGATATGTGGCCAGGACGTTCTGCAGACGCTGGCACACCGGCGTCACAGCATCCTTGAAGTTCGTCTGCGTCAGCTTCAGCAATCCCAGATAAACAAACTCCAAGATACCATCCAGGGCACGCACATTGTTGCAATAGCGATCGCAGTAGTTGCGCAGCGTGGTCAGATCTGCAATGGGGATATTCGGTTTAGTTTTGTCATTGTCTTTGTGGACAGAGCATCACCCCCCACTGACCCCTTTCGCTGCTCAAAGTTTCGGGATCTGTGTGGGTGTCGATCTCAAAGTTCTCGCGAATTGCATGGAAACGTTCCGTATAGGTGCGAGCCCGATCGTAGGCTTTGCGCAGCAGATAGAAGATATTTTTCCTATATATCGAATTTCAGATGAGAGAGATCGGTGAGTATCGGTATGGCTATCGGTATAGGGTTTCTTACCGATTAAACTGGAAAGTGCTATCGGCACGTAGCAGCCAGTGCAGATCGGGCGCGCCATCATACAGCACCTCCTCCTGACGTCCCATGATCGATGGCCTGCCAGTGACGATGATCGTGTGATGAGAGCACAAAGAGGGGCAAGCACTGGGCGAACTTACTCTGTGTACTGCTTGAAGTACGGGTCCGTTGTAAATGGTCGAATGTCCAGCACCGTCTCGAGTATCAGTCCGGTGATGCGCTGAAAAATGATCTTGATGACCTCCTCCGATGGCTCGATATCGATGCGATCGGGCAACAGTCGCAGCATTGCCAGAAAGAATGGATGCTGTGGCTTGTCGGCCGGCCGCTGCCTCTCGACCCGCTTATCCGTTCGACTGTGCCTGGAAATGTCCGCGTCCGTTGGCCCCACGGCATCGTGCTCCTCGAAGGCATGGGCCAGATCCTCAAAGCTTTTGGTGGTGATGCGGTAAAGCATTTGAAAGACCATCATGTCGGAGTACGTGAGAAAGCTGCGAAAGCACGGAAAGCCGAGGAGAAATGTCAGAGATTCATCTATCAACGGGATAGATTCCATACTTTGTTAGGGTCTTGCAGAAGGCTCGCTTGCGTGCCCGATCCATAAAGCTGTGCGCCTCGCGCATCTTCTTCATCGATGGATAGTAGTTGACCTCATCGTCCGGATAGAAGCCGCGCGCCTGTATGGCATCCGTGCAGGCACGAACTGTACAAAAGATTTATATATATTAAATAAGGGTAAGGGTTGGGGGTTGGGGGTTGGGGCACTGCTCACTCACATATCGAAACGCCAAATTGTGTACGAAAATCGTGAAAGATCTTGTGCAGCTGCTCGTAGATGCGCATATGGGTCTCGAGAAAGTAGAACGGATGCCAGTTCTCGATGTTGCTGATATTCACGAAATTCAGACGCTCCATTTGAACGATTTCGGCGCGCATGCGCAAAATGGCCTTGGCCAGCTGTGGTATCACAATGAACAGATTGTTGTGCAGATAGTCGCGCGCCTCGTTCAGCTTGCGCCATTTGATTGTCTTCTCCCACACCTTGAAGCCCTTCCAGAGCCGGAAAATGGAGAATGAACGTATCTGGATGATGCTGAGGAACTGCACAAATTCCTGCTGCCACTGATCGAGCGGCGTGAAGAAGTTCTCCGAGCAGTGCCAAAAGGTGACACCGTGACGCGTCACCGTAAAGAATGGCTCGTATGGATTCAGATCCTCGTATTCCACCTCCCGCAGGCTGTACGGCGTAAAGTATTCGCTGTCGTGCGGCAGCATGTAGTCCATGTAGACGAATGCATCGTCCTGCCTGGCCCGCATCCGATTGATCACCAGATTGAGATTCGGTATCAGCGAGGCGCCCGTCGTTATCTTGGTGGTGCTGGGGCTGCGAGACCTGGCCCCAACGCTGCCCACCGTCGAGCCCTTTCGCTGGAAGTTGAGTCGCTGTTTTCGCGCCCTGGATACCGCTGTATCCCTCGGTGATGTAATGCTGCTCGTGGCTACCGAGCTCTTGCCGTCCAGCAGCTGCACATGACCGCCGGTGCCGGTGCCGGTGGCGGCGGCAGCGTCGCCATCGGCGTTGCTGTCGGGTGGCATGGCGGACATGGTGACGTTTAGTTCGCTGCTAGCAGCGGAGGCTATCCCCGTGCCCGGGGCACGATTTTGCCGACTGTTGCTCCATCGCACCAGCGTCGTTTCTGATGATTTACCCTTCCCCGACGATCTGGACATCTTGGAATATCGTTGGGGGGACTCTGTCTCTATATACTGAATATGCTGGCTATATGTTTATATTTACATGAGTATGTACTCATTTATTATATATGTACTGACAGTTATTCGTGCCTGCTTTACTGTTTTTGTTATCCGTTCTGGGTAACGGTTTCTCCGCTTCCCCGTTTCCTTCGTTGCCATGGAAAAGCCTTTGGCAGCAGAGCTTTTCGTTGCTGAGCTTTTCGTTCCATTCTGTGTGCTTTATTGAGGCGTTTTGGAAATATTCCTGCAAGCAGAAAAAGCAATTAAGATACTGGGGATTCACGTGGAATACGAGCACCTTCCACATATAAAATATTTAATACCAAAAGTTTGTCTCGCTTGCAGTCCCTTCCCCTTCCGCCTTTGGGCCACATATTTCGAAGTATCTGGCAATGGAGTATTTATGTATTTATTCTTTTTCTTTTGATTTTAAATAGTTTGGAAACTCACCTTCAATGTTGCAGACTCCGTTGACTGCTTTGTTCGCAAGTTGCTTGCCACTGGTGATTATATTTTTTTTTTGCTTGGCGCAAAAGCTTGTCAAAAATACATCCCATTCCGGAAACGAAAAGATGATATAATATTTAATTAATCATTGCAAATAATATAATAATAAGTAAATAATAATTTAATAATATTTCTGGAAGCATTCAAAAACATTTACACACATGCAAAATTGGCAAAAGTAATATTTATTATTAATTTGTAATATTTTATTTTATTTTAATTTGTAAGTTTATGTTTGAACATTTTAAGTGGAACCCAAAATGCAGGTGTACCAATTTTTGCTGTGTGTAAAATATTTGTATTTGTGTGCATTTTTGTTTTGTTTTTGTTTTTGCATTTGCATTTGGCTATGCTTCTAGAGCATAACTTCATTGTGACGGGCGTGAGTCCAGTCCTTGTTGGCTCTGTAGGGTCCCTCAATGTGGCATCCGTTGGCGCTGCAGATGCCGACCGTGTAGCTGGGAATTTCACGAGCGTCGGGACAATGCAATGCCCCCGTCATGCCCTTCCAGATCATAGCGAGCGCCTCCTGTTCCGAAAACTCTCGGTCCTTCGGTTTGTTGTTGCGCACCATGGGCAGGACCGCCTCCAGGGCTGGGCCCGTGGTCACCACGTAGTCCTCCACGATGCGACCACGACAATCGATGGAGGACAGGTAGGGGCCCGTCTTTGGATCCATGCCACCCACAACTATCAGCACAGCCGTGTGATCTTCAGTCTTTGGCTTCATCTCGAAGGCGGCCCAGTAGATGCGATCCGCGATGACCTGCGCATCAATCGTGTCCTTGTATTTTTGTATGCCACCAAAGTCGCCACCTCCGCCCACAATAATCTGTTCGCTTATTTTGAACACCCGATCCATATTCTGGAACCGAGGCATCCATTCAGAGTGGGCGCAGGTTTCGGCCGCAATCAGGACCCCCCTGTCGTAGCGAAGTCCCAGAACGGTAGATCCCCAGGGAATGGACTCTTCGTCTTTGTCCGTGCCAATTAACTTCAGGAGCTCGGGCCTTTCCGAGCTGGCCCTCTGGTAGTATTGGTGGTAGTTCATCGCTCTAGTTTTCCTATTTTTAATGGGGAAAATTGTGTACGGAGAGTGAAATGTCGAAATTTTACCGACTTGACTGAGAATATTTTTGGGAATAAAAATTCTCCATAGATGTTGGTTGATGTGTCAAAATGAGAGTTGATCTGGCCTGCTTGATTTCAAAGAAATACAAAAAAAAAGTTGTTCGAAAATTTTTAAAGTGTTTTCCAACACTCACTCAAACAGCATTTTTTTTTTTAAATGATTCTCACATTAATTTTCGGCATTATAAAAATAATGCCAAGAGAACTTTTTCTAGTGCAAGCTTCGGGCAAGTAACGGTAACCGTGACTTGGAAAGCTTTGCGCTTTGCGCTTTTAGTTTTCGTCTTCGAATGGGAATTTCGAAAATTCTCTGCATTCCGTTGCGGTTATCTGCGGCGTTGGCCCACTTTCCACCGCTCTCCGGAGCGCGGAGCACGGTGCGGCACGGCACGACATGGCTCTTTCATTTCATCGACGAACTTTAACTTCTGCAGAACGGACCGGCATTTTGGGCACTTTTTTGATGGGGGGGGGAGCTATTAGTGGGCGGGGCTAGACGATTGTTGCTTCGGCCAGGTTTCGGCCAGGTTTTGGCTGCGGGCGGTCGCTGCTGACCTTCAAATTGAGAGTCGTGACTGCGCTGCTCGCTCTCTGCTGTTATCTCGGCGCTGCGCTGCGCTGCGCTGCGCTCTCTGCTCTGCGTTGTGCTTTGTGCTGCGGTGCGTTGGAGCTTTTGTCGATATCGAAAGCGTTGTCTGTCGAAAAAGCTCAGGTTGAAAGCCGCAGCTGCTGCTTTTTATGCTGCTGCTGCGAACAGCGAACTGCGACTGCGGCTGCATTCGTTCCGATTCGGAATACCCAATTCGGAATCCGTTTCGGGCTCTCTGCCGATTGTCGCCTGCAGAGACGCGGGCATCGTTTGCGTCTGGGTCTCGCACAGACGGTCTCCAGCGCGTCCGCTGCGTCAGTGGGGCCAATAGTCGTTGCGTATACGCCGCGATGTACAGAGCCGCGACACGCGACACGCAAGGCATCGCAGCAGCAGCAGCAGTTGGAGCAGCAGCAGCAGCAGTAGCAGCAGTAGCAGCAGTAGTAGTAGTAGGAGCAGTAGATTCAACCACTGGACCAACGGACCGAACCGTTGAGCCGCTCTTTGAGCCGCAGTGCCTGCTAAGCCGTGCCCCGTCGTTCCCGTATCCGTCTCCTTACTCGCATTCGCATCCGTAGTCCGTAATCGGCATCCGCAGTAGCCTCCAACTCGCGCTTATCCGCATCAACAGACGCGAAACTTCGACTCCGCGGCAGGAAGAGAAAGACAACTTTTTATATCATTCACTGTTTTTTTTTTTTTTAAATTTTTTTTGCATTTTTTTTCTGAATTTTTTTCTGGTGAAGCTTCTTTGCGTCGCGCTACCCCCCCAAGAATAAAATAGAATAAAGGGGAACAAAATTAAAGTTGTTCCCGCACTTCTTGGTTGTTTTTTTTTTTTGTAAGTTTTTTCGGCACAAACAAAAATAACTAAATCGTGGCCCGCTGTGTGTGTCTCGGTACCGTAACCGATCCATGAGGTAGGTCTTAAAAATATTCTATCGAATATTCGCCCTCTGCTTTTTGGCGGCTACTTTCTCGAGTCGATCCATCCATATAGATATGGGACCGTGTATCGAGTCTGATTATTATTAATTTTTTGTTGATGTGCGTTTTTATTAATATTTAAAGAGGCATAAAACTGTTGTGACGTAAATACGTGGCCAAAAACAAACCAAAGAAAAAAAAAAAAAAATACATATATATAAAAATAAAGCTCAAAAACTCAACATTTTTATTGTATTTAGATATACGCGTATATCTGGCGTATATTTTGCGCGTCGCGTCGCATCGTTAAAACGATTTTCATATTCATAACATTGCAGGTCTCCCCCTGCCTCCTGCCCCATGACCATTGGCCACAGGCCTTTTCCATTTTCCATTTTACGCTTCTTATAGCCACCATTTACCTTACCATCCATCCATATCGCTTTACATATCCCCATCTGCCTCCTCTTGTTTTTGTAATTTTTCTTCTCTTATTTTCTTCGCATTTCCTTCGGTATTTGGAATTCTGATTTCTGAATATTTCTATTAATTTTTGTTGCTGGTTGAGTTTTGATTTGATTTGAGTTTTTAATGGCTTTCACATGGACAAAGTTTTGCTAGCGGGTGGGGGATACAATTTTGTCCCCAAGAATTTTTGTTAGGTCTTTAAAAACCCAAGGAATTTGCCAGCGTTTGATAATTCAGTTATATCCCCGACATGCCCACGAGTACGGGCCGTGCCCGTACTTGTGTATCCCCCGTATTTATTGTACAGTGAAAAGCCTTTGGAACGCATAAAATCCATCTAAAAAATGTACTTCAATTAAAATTATCCGCCCATTGTAGGCGTACTTTTGAGAGAGAGATTTTAGAGATTTGGAAAGACTTCAATGCAGTGAACTCTGAAGCTCGCTATGGTACAAATTTGTATCCCGAAAGTGAGGAATGTGCCTGGAAATGCAGCAGAAATCTCTCACACAGAAAGAACCAAAGATTGGGTCTTTGAATTGTGTCCATTTATGGTTTTATTTTGCCAAAGATGTGTCCTCTCCAGACATCGAAATGCTTGAGGGAGCATCCGAACTAGAATGGAGATGGGCAGCCTATCCCGCAGGGAAATTTTCAATCCTGAAGGAATAAGGCCGCCGTGCATACGAGTATATGCAGACCCACGATCCATTTTGGTCACTTATTGCTGGGGATTTACTCTGGTTTGCGCAGTGTCCTTGAGAGCATGTCGCCCGACTCCCCATCGACACCATAATATCCATACGCACGGGGAGGGATTTCGGGTTGGGAATGGGAAGGGTGTGGGAAATGGGAGATGGGGGTGTCATCCGTTGAGTGGGGGCGATGGTTTCCTTAATAGCGCTTCCAAAGAAATGCTTAATGAAACACACACAGGGGCCAACAGACAAAGGCCAACTTAAGCAAATTCAAACACGACGATGGAAGCCAAAGGAAAAGCTCAAACTTTTGGGCCCAACCCACCTCGCTACGCTCTGTCGTCAGCTCTCTCAGCTGCAGCTGCAGCTGCAGTTGCGAAGGAAGCTGCATTTTCCATATTCATTTCCCAGGCTTCCCAACTTTCTGCCATTAGCGAAGCGAAAACGAAACGAAACGAAATGAAATGAAATGAAACTACAAAAGACAAAGCCAAGTGGAGAGAAGAGAAGCATTTGGGCCCACGGGCCGAGCACGGGAATTCACTTAAATGCGAATTTGGTTAAAGACCAGCCAGGGGCAGTCAGTGGCAGCCACGGGGTGTTCCGCCCAAGCCACCAGCCTCCTGCTATCACTTCTGAATTCTTGGGTATTGGGCACCAGGGAAAGCGAGGGAAACCTCATTGAATGGGGAACATTTTGCACGCCTCAGCAGCAATGTTGAAGGGCGGCCAGTGGTGTTGGGGGCGCAAAGCAGCAGGTGAGAGAAAAAATAATAAGTAGGGGAGAAAATGAAAGGCAGGCATCCTCCAGCGAGTGTCGAGGCAATGGACATATGAATACCCTTCCCGATAACCTACGAAGAAGGTAGCTTTCTCTCTGGAGGATATGATTTTATTGTACAAATTTACCCATAAGTGAGCGGAGATTAAATACAATTCGAATGGAATTCTGCTGGCATTATTCCATGAAGGAACGTCTATGCTCAAAAGCATAGTAGCCTCTGCAAAAAAGGGTATTGCCAGAGTGGGTTGTGGAGGGGTGCAGATGCGAGATGGTGGCACTGCTCTTGGGGAGGCCGTGCTGACAGCATCTGAGGCCCTCAAGGGAACATGGCGAATTCTTTATCAAAATGTATGACAAGTTTAAAAAGTCTTGTGGAGAACATCAACAAAATGAAGGCAGCGGCAACGTTTCGGGGGCATGAAAGGGTTTTGAAATGGAATGGGAAAATAGGGAGGGCCAGCCAATATGGGAAAGGATAAAGGCAGCAAGTAAGTAAGTAATGTGGTTCAAAGAGCAAGCCAGAGGGGGCCAAAGGTGAGCCGTGAGAGCATATCCGGATGAAAAACGAGCCCTGAAATGGGGTTAGAAGTCAGTCGGAGTGGAAAGTGAAAAAAAAAAAAATAAAATGAAATGAATTTGAATTCGCAGACAGAAAAAATCCAATTGGGATGAAAGTTTGAGAAACGAATCGAAAGCAAACTTAAAGAAATTCCGTGTTTAAGCCAAAGGGAAAGCCAAAGTGACTGTGGTGGCTCATAAAGAGCAAGAAAATGAATTCACAGTAAGCTGGCGACTGTGGGATCCATGTGGACTTAAGTCTTTAATTTACTTCTTAAAGAGATATCATAAAATAATTATTTCGGAAGCCATTTTACAATGCATCTCTTTTGTTCTTCTCGAATATTAATTATGATAAAGTTGCAAAGCAAACAAATTTAAGTAATCGAAAGCAAGCGATAATTATCGATAATGAATTCAAGTTTTCAATTCTAAATATGTATGTTTTTCTTTGTGATTTCAATAAAAAAAACTTCATTCAATAGAGATTCATTTCATTTACATATTCGATTCGATGACTTTGACTTATTCGATAACTAAATTGCACTTAATCGATAGCTTTCTTATTCTATGACTAATTTGATTCAATAATGGTTGGCCCCAAAACCCAAAAAAAAGAGTTCGTTCTGGCACCAACCATTCGATGGCTGGCATGGATCTCTCTATTCCCATTCGATAAATGTCTGCAGAGCCTTGCTGCAGAACTGAAACAGACTGAATGCAGAGTAGCAGCAGTGAGAGAGAGAGAGGAGAGAGAGAGAGAGCGGCCAGTGGCAGTGCCGCATCAGAGCCATGGCCAAAACGGATGTGGCAGGCAAACTAGGTTTATTTGGACAACCCCAATCCCCATCAACAGTCTTAACAAACACTTCATCCATCACCCGCACACACAAACA